TTCCGATGCGCGCGCGTCCCGATTTTATTCGCATGTTTTTACATTTTTTATTGCATAAAAATTCGAATGCCGTCCGACGCATTTTTATGAAAATTTATCATTTTTATGCGCGTGCGTTGAAAAAAAAAGTGTATTTGGACCCGGCAATGTGGAAACTCGCACATAAATAAGAGAGAAATTGAATAAAAGAAAATTATGTGAATTATGTGAATACGTTCATTATGAGCGTGCATATTTTTTAATTGCATATTCTGTTACCTCATTTACTATGTGTATATAAAGTGTGTTTACTTTTAATTTATTTTGCGTGAAATTATCACAAAGTTGCAGAACTTTTTCAACACTTTGTATTATTGTAGTGACTATTTAGGTCACAGTTAACTTCTCAGCGTGGAAAGTGAATGATTACGGAGAAATTATAATTCAATTAGGAGTTAAGGGGTGCTTATAATGCTGGCAAGAATCCAGTTCAAATAACTTGCACGCATTGTTATCATAGCAAATGTATTAATTTGTATAATTAATTAATGTGTCTTATTATTATTAATATTAATTGAAATTTAGGTCAAAATATTATTTTTCGTATTTTAAAGTCAAAAACAACGTTGATTTGTATTGTTTTGTGGTTTAAACAGCTTAAACTCATACTTGTATCAGAAACAGGCACTTGTACCAATTGGAGAACCCTTGCTGGACATTATAAGCGTAATGTGGAGTAAGCGGATAATTGATCGAAGCAGTTTAATAGCTTAATATGGCGTGCGAACGTGCTATCCTTGCGGTCGATAGCGTGTCTGCGAGCGTCCTGCGTCCATCGGGATCGTCCTTGTGGGTGCGTCAACGCCCGTCGGATCACACACCGAAAAGATCCCAATGCAAACTGAGCCCGAAACCGAATAGAAGCGATCCGCCACACCTAAAGCACGCATTTCGCACCCTTTCAAGCCCTCTCGAAATCTCTACCATAACACAATACATTCGACACGATCCGAAACGACCAAATACGAGTATCAACCACCAACCAAGAGCAACCAAACAACGCTCGTTGCATTAGCGAGATTATTTTTCAATCTGCAACTGCGTGCTCACAAAAAAAGAAAATATTCCGCAAGGCGTTTTTGGCAAAAAGCTGAAATGAGAAACTCGCAAGCACAAGCCAACGAAATTGAAAAATATTAAAGAGCCTAAAACAACTAAGCGGAGACTTTGAATAAAGCGCAGCGTGAAAGCTGAGCGTCTACTCGAGGAAGTGCCGAATTCTTGCAGGACCAACCAGAGTTTTATTTCAAAAACGTTTCTTCGGACGTAAAATATAAATAAGAGCGAGTGAGTTTAAGCGTTCGACTTGTTCTTGTTCTTTTCCTGCAGCTACTTGTTCTTGTTTCGCAAAGTCGAGGTGATATAATTATAATTTGGGTTCGAAGGACATTGCGCAGCGCGAATCCGAAGGACGAGTTTTCCAAGTTAAGCGAGTTTAAGAACAGCCCGAAATCCTTATGTACGAAACTAAAACTTGTTAGACCCTGTTAAGACTTTGGGCGTTGTTTAAAGGCACCACAGCATCGAGAAGAAAAGTGTATTTCGACGCGGACAGACAGCGGCTACAAATTACCAACGGGGATAGAAAGATAGATTTATTTTAAAATAAAAAGTCATGTGACTTAGGTATTCAAGTCATCATGAAACTATTTTAATTTAAACTATTTTAAAGTAAATTTACTGTTACTAATAGAATTTTACACTTTTTTTACATTTTGAGGGCGATTATCCCTTGTCTGTATTTGTGTGTTTACTTCAAACATTTAACAAATAGAACGCCTGCAGAATTAAACATGATCAACCGTATAGACATTACAGAAATCCCTCATTTCAATAGCAAATACATTCATCAAACGTTGTGACGTCCATTCGGAGGGTTCGCCATCCAGAATTATGACAAGTATTTCAATATGAAATACTCGTACATGAATATTATATCATCAATTCGGTGTAGAGATGGAAGTAATATTACCGCAACTAATCATAATATCGGTTAAAATCACTTTAAACTGTTTAAAATCACAATTCTTGACATTTTATTGAATTATTTTGAAAAACTCTCGGTAACTTTGAAAGTAAGACTGCGTTTTCGAATTTTTAAACATATTTCTTAAATAATTTAGATTTCCAATGCTTTTATTCAAACAAATTTGAATAAATATAGAGAAACCGTCCCAAAATTAACAATTTACTACTTACTCATAAATCGCCTCTGCATGAAAATGTATCAAATATAATATCCTTATTTAGTGTCCAGAATACATGCCATACATGTCGTTCAATATTCTAAATTCTATTTCCAATGCACATTAGATTGCGCTGATTTTATGACACAATTTCCCATTTTGATTGCACAATGTTGCGCACACGCTGCACTCTCGGCGGTAAGCGTTCGTCAAACGCGATGCATGTTTTCCGTCTTGCCATGCAAATAATATAAATGAAAAATGTATGCTACAGACAGGCGCGCACTCGCGCAAAACAAGAGCGAGGAAAATTCACGGCGAACGTAAGAATGAGCATCACAGGAAGTTTTCGCAGACGTTAGGAGACCTTGGGCGCATTGCGCGAGGTCGTAATATATTTGAGGAAATTTGAATATTCAGAGGAAACGCCGACGTGTGGAGGGCGGCTGGCGGCGGCGGGCGCGTTGCGTAGACGCGACGTTTCGAAAAGCACATGTGACGGAAATTTACAAGCCGTGGCGTTTCGCCTTCGCTCTGCTTTTCCAGCGCCAGCGTCGGTATACAAAGTGCTTGATATGTTTTGCATTTATTTTAGATTATTAAATTTGATTTCAAACATGCTAAATACGAAACATTTCTGATATTAAAATAGATAAGAATACATAAGCATTACTGTTGATGTTCAAGAACTGTTGGTTGCATAAATTGTAATCATTTTTAAGAGATTCTTACATTCAATGTTAAATTGCGCAATTTATTTTTTTGCAACTCGACAAAGTAGCAAAGTAATAACTATTTGTGAGCCGCTTATATTCACGCACTAGAAAACGACTTGCGTAGCTTTGTAGAAAAATGTACGGGAATATAATAGTCTCAGAAATGTAGATGTAATACGGTTTCGCGCATATTCGCATAATAAAACATTAAACATTAAAATGGGTTATTTACAAGTAATTTATATTCTGCATGCAGCCAGAGTAAAATTCATTCGGGGACGAAGCGCGCCGCGGTGCGCTCGCTTGCTACTCGCCGCCGCCACCGGTACGACGGCGGGGCTGAGACGAAAATGCGCCCGCTTAATTTACATAAGTGCACGCGCGCGAGAAAGAGACGCCCGGCGCCGGTAAGTATTTTCTATAAAATTTTTATTCCGTGTTAAAATTTGTTCGCATAACTGCGACGCAGACATCGTCTTCGCACATACAGTAAAATTCAAGAAAACGCGTATTATTCACTAGGGGTAATAAAATTATATTATGATATTCGATATTGAAGTCACTCGTTGGCGCATCTTCCTCATTACGGCAAATAAAATGAAGCAGTCGACAGAAATCCGTTTTTAGAGTTTGGTATTTTGTTGCATGTTTTACAAACGGTAAGCAAATAAAAACATTCCAACAAAGAGTGGAAACTTTCCTGGGAATATACAGTTAATAATTTCGTGTGAGTTTGCATATGTGCGATGTGGAAATGCACAAAAATGTAATTTCCTTTTCACCTTGAATCTGTTATAACTTCTAAACATATTTTTGCGGGATGTGAAGCCATTTTTAATTATTTTTTAAAATATACTTTCCACGTACATACAATATGTGTTGCATAATTTTTTGTTCGGACATTCAATCACCTAGCGTAAAAAGGACGAAAACTGATGTTCATTTTATATATGACTGCAACAAAACAAAAATATGTATGGAACGCATGTTATGCCAAGGAATCAATTTCGTTTCTGCAACAAATAACGACGAAATTCACAGTAATACAACGCGCAACTCGCAAATTCGGCACGAATTTGTATTGGTGCTGTACGGTTCTGGCAATATTGTGAATGAATGCGAGCCGCCGATAAAATTTTGATCATAACGCTATTCTCCCTGCCAATAAAACTGAATTATTACTTGTCTTCTCTATAACATCTTTATATATATTTTATCGTTCTGCTTATACATAGTATTTTTTTATTATTTCGCGCAAAATCGTAAAAAAACGAAATATTTTTCGATGATCCGACAGGAATTGACATGAGGTCAAATTAAAAATAATCATCTACTGAAAAATCTAAAATAATATAAAAAAATATTAATATAATTACATCTGGAATAAACTGACACCCAATATATTGTTGTACGTTGCATCAAACGACAAGCTTTCCGCTCGCTTTGGATTCTCTGACTTTCAACATAGTTGAGAACGAAAGACACACATAAACATTGCAACAACAAGTGCGTCTGTCTGCCGATTGTTGCGATGTCCTGAGTGAAGGACGATCGTTTTCCTCGGTCGTTGCTGGCATTGGCATCGACATCGACGTGAAAGCCGCCGTCCGGAGGTGTGCATTTTACGTTACAGATGGCACAATGCGTTCGTTCGCCGACGGATGGAATAGATTGAAAACAGAATGTTGTCACATCGAGAACAACCGGCCCGTCCTTTGAAAATGCGTTATAAATGACTCGCGCTGTCAGCGATGCGGGCGGCGGCGGTGTTTAAAAATTGAATAGTGGAAACACGTGCGCAGATCAACTTTGAACGCGTTTTGCGCAAACTGACAACGTTTCAACGACCGATTCACAAAATTTACTAAAATCCTACCTGGAACAGTGAACAAAAACATGTCACAACATAAAAAAACTACCTGGTGTTCAAGATTTAACTAAAAATTTTAAATATTAACATCTTCTTTCGTTTTAAAATTAAAAATTTTATTTTATTGAATAATTTGAATAATTATAAAAAATATAAAATAAAAAATCTTTTAAATATTTGTATCTACGATAGATGGCAAGTAAACAGGATAAATATTTATGTGATATGAGAAATGACTGAATAATAAGTTTTTCGGTGCATTTATATACAAGTACGCTGTACAAATCCTGCAATACGAGCGTTTGGTTCATTAAACATGCTCGTATCCTGTCGCATCCTGTCGCTGACCAACAACCAAAGGAATTTGGGGTATCGAGATTGAGTTAGCGAATGTTGGTCGGTCGCTGGCAGCGCGCGCTATTAATTTTACAACTTCTCTTTTTCAGTGTATCGTCGTAGGTAGTTTATACTTTGGCGCATCGATATAAACCGGATTAAACTTATCCAAATCCGGTGCCAGCGTGGACAGCGCTTGCACGTTGTGCAGCAGTGGCGCACCAGCATCGCCGCCGTCGTTGGCAACGACGTACGGAGCCAAAGTGGCCGCGATAAATCGCCCCGGCTCGTGGTGCGCTTTTTGTGCGCGAATATTAGGTAAAAGTTGAACCTTTTCCGCCGCAGCCCCGCGATATTTATCCGACAGGATAAATAGAACGCCGGGATCGTCGCCGGCTTCGTAGTACGCCGGCTTGTGTTCGTCGGTAATTAAGTGCTGATTTATGAAGTCGTGCGCATGGCTTTTCAGCGTTACGCCGCCGTCGTGGGGATTGCCGGCGACGTGCAGCACGGAATCGGCGTACAAGGGCACGTGCACTCGACGGGCGGCGGGTGAGTGGGCGTCTGGGCTCAGGTGTTGATGAGCTGGCGGTGGCAGTGGATGCGGCGCAAAGCGGTGGTGGTGAACTGGCTGTGCAGCATCGGTGTGTTTGCTACCCGAGTATTTCACATCCGCTTTGTAACCGTTCTTGTCGGCTGTGTACGATACGATTTGGACGCGTCCGTCTGGAAGTTTCACGCGGTACTCCCCGTTGGTGGCTTGAGAATCTTGAGATTGGCTGTGAGAGAAGTCATCGCCAGTTAAATGATCCACAACTTTATAAGAGAATGCGTAGTTTTTCTTTGTCTAAAACAGAAAAAAAAATTACGTACAAATCATCACATAACCTCATTTAAATTCTATTTTTTTTTTGATTTTTTTTGAATATGTTTGATTACACAATAATAAAATGCAATTTGTAGCACTTACTTCATCGTCATAATCATAATGCTCAACATAATTGGGAATGTTCTTCAAATCGTTTGCCTGCGGCACGTTGAGTACCCGCGCCCCATGCGCGGCTAGCGCCTTGTACACTTGCGGGTTTACTTGCTCCTGAAAATGATTCAAAAAGAGCGGAAATTAAATTAGCAGAACAAGCCCGCATACAAAAAAACACACACAACCAACGTGCGCGCGCATTCCGTAAACGTGAGCATTGGCTTTGTTGAACGCGAACGTCGGAACATAACATGGCAGGACATAAAAGAATGGAACATAATTATTTAGACATCAGGATATAACGTATCCGTCGTTATATTCACATCACAGCCATACGTTTCGTTTCGGGATGCCTCGCTTCGCCTCGGCAACCCTCTGCTGTGGTGGCCGGCGGAACATATTTTTATTAAATTCGCGACCGGGAGCGTCGTCGCGGAAAAAATGTTTCCCACTGCATGCGCGCCAGGACTCGCAGTGGGTCGGCGGGTTTTCAGAGCAATCAATCTTAATCATCCACTATATACGCATTACACTTTTTTATCGAAATCGTTCGCCGGCTAGGTTTTAACATTTCCTATTTCCGAATATATTGTGGGATAGATACGGATGATCATAAGAAGCGATGATTTTGCAGTTCAACAAGCGACTGTACAACTAATAAATTATAATCAATCATCGATAACTCCCAGAGGCCACGAATTCTTTACAAAGTCGAAAAACTCCGTTTGATTTTTTGGCTTTCAACGAGTCAAAATCAAACAATCTTAAATTGGTGTTTATCTCCATTTCACGATGATCAAGTTACCAAATTTTTGATTGCAACATAAATTTTAAAGCTGTCAAAAACATTATTTTTAATAATACCGGACATGATTGTTTTGATAAGCCTTTGGCGTGTTGTAGTTGGTTTTTTAATGTATTGTTGTGTGTTTTTTTTACGCGGCAGTTATTTGCGATTGACAAAAAGCGAGCAAAAAGTGTGGAATTTTCCGAATTGTTTTGTAATTTATGCCTCAGCGATAAATTGCAGAAATAAAAGTTTTAAATAGAATGTGACAGACAGCTGAGCGCATTTTGGGGGCATTTCGACGAGCCGCCGGCAACACGTCGGCGTGGCGCGGCTGTTTCCGTAATACGTTGAATTTTCGAAATGAATAAACTTGTTTCGCGTCGAAATTAGCATTGTTCAGGCTCAATGGTTACATCTCCGCAACGCCAGCATTAACCAAGCGGGTCGTGCTCGTTGAACTATTAATTAAAATTGTGTTCAGATTTATTTCATTTCGACCTTTCATCTATTCGTCGCTGGTCACCCAGTTGGTAATTATTTGATTATCAAAAAATAAATTAAAATACTCGTCAATCTACTCCGCAATATTCAATTTTTAATTAATGCTTTCATATGTAAATATTCATAAATTAATTTTTTCGTGTTTATTTACGGATTCTTCAAATTATTTTTAGTGTTTAGTGTCGCCTTCAGATGGCGCTAGCGGTACCATTTCAACAATAATATTGCTAAACATTCTAACGCACCGAAGAGAAAGTAAAAAATTATCTATTCATGATAAACTCACATCACATCAATGTAAACAATTTATTCAATTCTAATTCTTGATCGAATGTTCGTGGAAATGACGTTTTTTTGTACCTATAAAATATTCCACCGCGTTGGCAGATTTGCCCCCGCTGCGAAAAACTCGTGAAAAACGTCGCGTATCATTAAATCTGATCTGCACAAAGCGGAGCTTACTTTAACTCCGCGTGCGTCTTCGCAGACACGTCGCCGTCATATCTGGCATTATACGCGTACACACGTCTTTTGCGATGTGATAGCGACCGCGAAAGGAGCTGGGTGCAATGGGCGTCGCGTTGACGTTTTCGTATTCATCAAACGTCGCGCGCCACGAAACATGTCACATGTTATGCATAAACGCTGCTGGGATATTGTAAGCGCAAGCAGAAAATTTTACAAAAAGGCATATGCTAAACTTATAAAAATTGCTACCGATATTTTTTACCTAAATGACATTTTCGACTTAACAAGTTTTTCTATGTTTTTCATCATGTAACAGTTTCTCTAATATGTTACAAACATAACCATTATCCATGTTGGTGAAGAATTTGCTTGCAACCAGCTTCACACGCAAGGAAGCGTCATTCAAAAGCAGGCAACCACACATACACGCGTGCACAAATAAACAGTTTATGGTTTATGATAAATTTTGTACTGGCGTCGTTGGCAGCATAAAGCAGGACGTTACATGCACATATCCTGGGCAGACAATATGACAGATCCTGCGGGGCTGCGGCGAGCGCGCCTCGTGCATCATGCTATAGCCACACAAAACGGAGGCACGCTTCAAACGGCGCCGTCGACCGGGAAAGTCGACGCAGCGTACGAATCCTCCGACGGTTGTACCTCGGCGTCGGGGCATTCAGAGCTTTTGCTTTATGAGATAGGAAACGTTCGTCTTTGCTGGAGGATACTGGCACACAGGAATAGGAAGTCGGTCGTACAGCACCCGCGCTGAGAGAAAATATACGTTTACTTGTGTGTGCGGGTGATTGTGTTAGTGTGTACTTTGCGAATTTGCAGCCTGCTCGAGGGCTTGGTCCGTGCACCCAGTGTCCAGTACGGGATGTACTGCTGCCGCCGACAGCACATGGGCCTCCCGACCGGTGGCTGACAATGTTACGACTGTAACGAGTGTTTGCGCGTACGGAAACGCGAACGCACGCCGAAACGCCAAACCATCTACATCCACCATGGGGATCGTTTCGGAGGCGGTTGCTGGTTACTCGGAATCGTCTAGCAGGGCGAAAGTCGTAAAGTAAACAATGATTTGTTAGTTTATGGCGTTTCTGGTGTTTTCAGCTATTTGGCCAGAATTATCTTCGAATAATATACAATGTGTCAAACTAATAATTAAAAAAACTACAAAAAATAACCAACACACATGTTATATTAACATATGTCACACAAAACTTTTCTCTAATATTTACTACCGACGTTATTGCAGTTGTAATGAAAATCATGAAGTTTTGTGAAAATTTGCAGCGTAAAATAGAAGCGATTAGAGTTAAACAGGCGTAAACACAATGTATTGTGCAAATGATAAGCCCCAACACGCCCACACATATTAATAACCGTCGTCTGCGGACAGCAACGCGCAATCCGGAATGCAAGACGGCGAAACGATGACCGCGCCGCGAGATGCAAGAACGTTTTATGTCCTGATAATGCTTTATTGCGTCATTGTTACGCTGCGCTACGGGAACATGGATTTTACGATGTTGGGACGTTTGCATTATTAAAATTGCGGCGCGCAAGCGGACCAGGCAGGCGTCACTGCTGGCGAACTTTTGGTTAGAAACGAGCTTTTTGTTTTATCAACGTACTCGGCGTAATATTTGCTCGACATGCTTGAATATTTTACAACTTCTCATCTATAAAATCGCGCTGAAAATGCAAAAGCCGTCGAAATTAATTTTTGGATGCGCGATGTTCCAAACTTGGTTCGCGAGCGCGATAATTTCGTTTTATTGCCGCGATTCGCCCGGCGCGCGTTACGCTTTATTAGCAAATTGTCATGTTTGAATGTAACACATTTTTGTGAATTTAATTACATTCAATTGCGTGCGCATTTAAGTACCCTCAAGCTATCAAACATTTTATCGGCAGTTATAGGCGCATTGTCTTCCTGACAATCAAAGATTCGTTGTTTGAAAAAAATTACAATTGTTTAACATTATTATTACATAAAATATTTAAAAATGTTAACATGTTATTACGCTATTAATATTATTGCACATTGTTTCGTTAAACGTAATAATATTACAATTATTCTTCAACTTCTTCAGCAATAAAACAACTTTTCAATGTTTATAATAATAGTTGTCTGATTGTTATACCCGCAGCGATAACAATCTATTTTCAAGCAACACCTACGATATAAACATCTGTGGGCATGTATAAAAATAAACCATTTGCACCTTTCAAGAATTTAAACGATTTAAAACCAGTAAACTGCAATTACTACCAGATGCCTACAATTTCTAAACAAATCTTTATACATTCATCGAAACTTATAATTTATTGTGGTACTTTTACTGATTGTTATGCATGAAAATAAATTTACACGTTTTGTACGATGATAAAAAAATGTTTATGAAAGTTAAATTATCAGTATCAAAATCAGAAATGGAACTAAATAAATATTGATTGAATCTCAATTATTATTATACAATCTGTACGTCTATCAGTTTATTGTCAATAAATCAAAGTAGATAAATTTCATATTTTTAAAGAATTTATCGAGAAAGGTGAGATAATGTATAAATAAGTAATGGGTCAGGCAACATGCTTATTTGTTTCACGCTTGAGTGATAATGATGGTAGTTTCATCATTTTTTCGACAACGCCGCCGCAATATTTTCGATTTGCATGGCCACCAGACAAACTCTTTTATTAAGCACTTTTTACTTTGATCAAGATATACATATTCCCAATATTATGTAATTTGTGTCGCAAGCGATAGTGAAATGCCTTTCAAGGCGACAGGTAATGACATTCGAATTTATTACGAATACGAACTGACCAAATGATGATTGGTAACATCACTAACCATTCAATACACGCCGTTAAAGTGGATTTAACGCCGAAGCTTTTTAATTCTTTTTTTTTTCTTTGTTATGACTTTCCGTTTCACAATTTACGTGAGAGTAGAGTATTGTCGGATGTCGAAGGTTGTTATTCATAAATCAATTACAATAAATTCTCATTAACGCAATGATATAATCCTCGAAATCCTCGTAAAATTAGTCAAGCGTACAATTATTAAAACTTGTGCGAGTTTGCTAATAAGTTGATTTAATTAAAATAAACAGACTTTTCGTAATCGTAAATGATGGCAGTGGATCTGTGTAAATGGTGATCGTTTGGGTTGGAAACTTTAGCTAATACATCGATGCGAAATGCTACTAGTATTAAATGTCTTTTTTAATTGCCACTTTGGTGCTCTATATTTTTTGTTCGAGAGTACTTAGTAAGATCTGCGAAGGCTGTAAAACGCGCATAAACGAAATTGAAACGTTTAAGCGCTTTCATTACGCGAGGAAAACACCGATAAATCATTGGCGCGATTCAGCAGCTCTTAAAAATCGCGAGATGCGTGAAAGGAAAATTAATTGTCAAAACGAATGATTTTTCCAACTATAAATTTAAAAAGTGTTTGGTAAATAATTTAAAAATCCATAAAACTGTTTCGTACAATTAAAATTCAAGTCAACTTTGAATTAATTAAAAATAATTATGCATTTATTTAAATTCACCAACAAAATAATGCCGTTCTAGTTCTTATTAACCAAATAACAGGTATTAGCAACGCGTGCGAACATTTATGCAGTTTCTGCATGTGCATAACATTCCTGGAATCTCAATTAGCCCACATGAATATTAACAACAAGCAAAATTTACAATTTCAAATTACAACAACGTAAATTCACACGAAAATGTTTTCGTGCTTGAATGCAAATGTAATTCGTGTTGGCGGAAATTCTAAAACTCACCGGAATGCCGTACTTCTTCTTCTTCTTTGCTGCAACGCCAGCGTACGGATGCGTGTCCTTCAGCTGTGCCACCACGTACGGATCGGTCGTGACGCGATTATCGCCGGGCTGGTTGTTGGCCGGAAAGAGGATGGGGCCGCGATCGTCGGCGCCGAAGACGTCGATTTGGTTGGCGTACTCGCGTAGCCTCGAGACCTGTCGATCACCGCTCCGCGGATCGTAACCTAATTCGTACGGATGCGGATTGAAATTCCGCGGCTGTAGGAATACTTCGGGCGATGGCTCCTCCAAGGCGTGCGCTTGAAAAATGTCAGCCATCAGGTGCATCAAAAGCGATGCCATCAACATCTTCGATGTCATAATTCTGAAATGATATGATAAGAATACGAAAAGATTTGCACATTCACAAGTGAATATAATTCCCCGAATTTTTACAACGCTGCATAAAATTTTTAGATTTTATTCCATCGGAAATCAATTTATACTTGATATTAACCTCACACCTTATAAATTATCATTAATTAGTTATAATGGTCGCAAAGAAAAACATATTGCACATTTACACATTAACGGATCGATTAATAAATAAACCAATTACGCTCTTCGTTGTTGGGCACGCCTAGCCCAAGACTTTGCTTTTGCTCTCCGCGTCTTCACGCTCTAATTCGTGAGTTCCGTAACACGCTTCAGAATTGAATGCTAATGTTTGTTCTTCGCAACTTGGCGTACACCGACCAGATTGCCCACGACGGACAGCCGCACGCGTCGTGTATCCGAATTGCACAATGCAATAGCGTAAAAAGTTCAATTTCAATGGCATCAGCACGTATTTGGCTACAGTGCATCAAGCAACAATGACCAGGCGTCGAACCAAACAAAATCAAAACATATGTAGATAAATAGTTTGCAGCCTTAAATATTTCATAACGTATTTGCCGATATTACCATAACAATACCTCGATAATGTTTTTTTCTTTGTTTGACCTGGAAGCCGTTTAAGGTGTTTGGAATTTGAACATTTGTAATGGTTTAATTTTATTTTCAAAGTTATGCAACCCAATCTACAAATAGATTTTGGTTCAAGTATGGTTATGTTTGTATCACTCACTATATTAATAAACTCTTTGCCCATAAATAGTGTAACACATCTTATCACCGTTCGGTGTAATCCGGTGCGACGAAATAAATTCACTGCACACATCTCACTCGACGCGCCGTCGACACCGCTGCTTTCAAAGGTGTTTGCGGTCGTTTCTGCATAATCTATGTGAACACAGCTAGGATCTACATGTGCGCGTATGCCGAGTGCGAGCAAATTGAAACGGAATTTCGCAATTTTGTACGTAATGTGTTAATTACGACGATTTTTAATTAGGAGAGCTAGCGCGCCTCGCGACACACGGCAGACGATAAATTTAATTTGTAATTATAGACGTGTGCGCTCGTTAAGGGTCGCGCCTGTCGACCGACGCTGCGCTTCGGAATTAACGCATAAAATGTCGATAGGAAATTTTTTTCCAGTTGGAATATCAGTGTAAAAATGTTACAGCATAAAATTTTAATTTGTTTAAATTTAGGTACATTTGAATGACATTAACATTTGTTATTGTTGAGTTTATAAATGTGCAGTTCACCAAAAATTTCACTAAAATAATGGATGGTGTTTACAGTTATAGTTGCAACAACACAATAAAATAACAAAATTTAGTGTGTTTTGTTTTGCTCTGTGTATAACGTTAAATTTGTGTCCATTTTATTGGTTTGAAAAGCATGTCAATAGTCGTTTTTATCCGCAATTTGGTATAAATCGTGGGTTATTTGCAAAATGCACAAATTACGGTAATAACTACGAAAGTTTTAAACACGTAAGTAACTCAAATTTGATTTTACTAATCACTTTCAATGGATGTTGAAATATTAACAATGATAGCATTTATTAATGACTAGTTTTTTTTTAACCTAAAGCCAGATTTTTTAATTTATATCGCACAATAAAACTTACTCCCATTATTAATATACAAAATGACGAAAGTCTGATCAGATAATGCACTCTAAAACCTATTGTAGTATTAAATCATCAGTTGCAAATATTCACATCTTCATCAACATATTTCTACAAATATATTGTTTCTGTGGTTTATGTTATTGCTCATAATCCAGATTATACCACATAAGTATTAATTAAATTCAATATTTCATAGAGACTACATATGCTATTGTGATGTTACTCATGAATGAAATGACGAAAGCCTTAAGATGATTCTCATAAAAGTCACTATTAATTTAATTAAACTATTGTTGAAACTATGAGTTGTGATGTACATCTGTGATGTAAAAGTTACAAAATGAACAAATTATCACACTTACTACATCTTCAATGAACAATTACTGTTTCTAAATTTAAAAATTTTAGTTTTTGCAGAAGGAAACTAAAAAAAGGAACTGTCAATATTGATTTCTATTCTATTAGCTTTCTATTGATAAACATAACCTCATTTCATCTCTCATCAAATAGAAATAAACTTTGTTTGGCGACATTTATTCTCATTTCTATTCTACTGATATTTACCTTCTGTTATTGTTTGTGTAGCTAAAACAGAGTTTTCAAACATTTAACACTTGAAATTTGTATTTACCTACTCCTAAACCATTATTTTGATTTTATTTCTATTTATTATAATTAACAAACAAATTTATATTATTCACGAAGTTTTAATTTATTTAGGACATTTTGATATTAATACCAAAATAATAACAGTTTTATAATAATTTTTAATAATTACCTAAAAATAGAAAATAATCCTTGCCTTTTAAATATTTCCAGTTGTCTGTCGCACGGTTATCACTAATTTATTTACAAATCTACTTAAAACTTTCCCTTAAATAAATAATTGTGATATTATTTTGAGTTACATTTGAATATACAGAATGAACACTGTTTTCGCTTATTTACTCGTTACTCTAATAATCCACTCGGTGGTTTCGACTTGATTACTTATACTCGTCCCACTCTTTTGGCGTCGAAGTTCGCGCAAGGCTTGAAACCCATTGAAAAGTCTCATCCACTTTTGAAAACACTCATCATTTACATTGAAGTATATTTAGTGTAATATAAATAAAATTAAATTAAATGATATTATAATAATTATATAGTTAGTAATCTGATACCTAAATTAATTAATTGAGCAACCTACATTAAATTTAACAATATAATTTTTATTGTTAACCTAGGAGTATTGTTAACACCAATATCGATTGTCGTGAGTTGAATGTATTTCTATGATTGCAAAGGCGCAGTACAATGAAAAAAATGAGTTAATTGCAAAGTAATACCTACTCATTCATGAGAATTAACAACTTTAAAAATAATTTACAACTGACAAACATCCGAATGCATTTACAATCGTTTTAATAAATTTGTTTCGAGTTATAATTAAGTGCCCAACATTTTATTTCAATCGGCCGAGTAAGTCACGACTTACTTGTATTATAACAATGATTGTATTAAATGTTTATTACAATTGCAGTTATAATTAGTTACTTTTTGTTATAAATATCAATTGATATAATAACTATCACTTAAATAAAAATTAAATGTTTTAAATATTATTAAACGTCTTATAAATCACAGGTACAAATATAATTAATGTAGCAAAATTAATATAACAACCTTGTAGGACCTTGACTTTTTTAAATTGCGAATGCATCTTTGATAAATCGCATCACGGATCAATGTCAACACTATTAGAAATATGTTTTTGGCATGTTTTATAATTTTGCCTCTCATTAACACGTTTTAAATTCTTGCTATCTTGATTTATAATTAATGCTCGTTTTTTTCTTATTTAAATATTTCCCATAAATCATGTCTGCATCAAAGTGCATGAGTTACAAGCAATTAAAATTATTCATTACAAATCCATATTACGTCTGAGCTTTATTGGTAATATTGCATGATCCGGCTCATTAAATTTTAAAGCAATACAATCATAATTGAATTTAGAACAAAGCAATATTCGCATAGTTATTCTTATTTAAAGAAATCGCTTACAAAGCTTTGAAACATTGACTTTGATATAGTATTTAAATTTGTGAGTCCAAAAAGACAACTATAGATGCGTGATTCGATTTTGTAATCGTTGTTGTCTCATGATTACTCATATTTGGGACTGGGAATATATAAATAAGTAAATTTGGATGATGACTACACATGCGAGTACTATTAACATACATTTTTTTAAAGAATTCCAAATATTTCATTGTTTACGCATAAAAAAGTTTAATTCAATTGATTTAAATGTGTTTTGTCACTTGTTATTGAATTTAAGAAATGCCATAAATGGCGGATTTGTAGGAGTCAACAATATTAGTTTATTGGTAATGTCGCAATTGTTTTCGTGTTTGTGAAAGGAATTTAAGGAATTTCAAAGTTATTTCTATGATCTGTGATTATCAAATGTTAAAAATTAATGTTTAACATTAGAACATGAAAATACATTTATATATAAATATCAATTTTCTATTTAAGGTGATTTTGGATTTTCAATTGAAATTTGGTTTACGAAATTGATATTATTATTAACCAAACTTACCAAATTACAAAAAAATAATGATTATGTGATACTTGTACTTTTACAACTCTTAAAAACTTTTAATCTTTATGTAATAATGCATTTTTCCACAATTATAAAATTTGTAAGAGAATTCATACATTATTTTAATGCAGTTAGCATGATTGCGTTTTAATAAAAGAAACTAATGTAAGGTCAACTGTCAAAATTCACGTCATTACACTGTTTCACTGTTTCACACCATGCTACCAACCAGCTTCACACAAACTTGTTCCCAACATAATTTTAATTCATTCATACCCATATGTATTACACTTTTCTCATTTACCTAATAATCACGCGTAATGCAAACAACTCGTTGGTACATATGGCCCACCTCATCGCGATGAAGCAATTCCACCAAGTCCCAAAATTTTCGCCGACCGTTTGCATATTACGACGCGTGCGAAATTCGGCGCACAATGCTATTATATTCGGTGCACCGCAATCGCACGCAAGTATAATACGTGCCCGAAATGAGAGCGCCCGATGCAATTTTAGGTCGATGTCGGTGAGGCGTTCATTGTGCGGTACATATCCAAGAGATCTCGTTGCGATAATCGTGTGCGTCGTGGATTTGATCTTGATTTAATTGCGAATTTTGATTCTCGATTTGCTTTCAGTCAGCCCGGTATTACGACAATGGTTTTTGGTTAATCTATTCTTGTCAAAACAGAACCGCGAATGGATTTAGAATTGAGTGACGTGTTTTGCAACATGAAGGACCAGAAAATGATTTAATTAATTATGTTTTAGAATTACCAAACCTAGTTATTACAATTACCAATAAGTCAGCTTAATTTAAAATATTTTAAGATATAATGCGAAACATGTTGTCTGTTTGCTTAGTCGTCAACTGCAAATTATGATTCAAGAGTTCGTAGGTAAAAGGTAACAAGTAACAATGTAGAAGTGAAATGTTGAGCAACAAACGTTCAAGTAACTAAAGCAAATGCTTGTAAATACAAGCGATTTGATTCCAGGCTGGCAAATGCATAATAACACATTTGTTACATCAATTTATCTCTGTGTCTGATCTATTGTGAACATGCTGTTAAGATAAAACGAAAAAAATACATCAACGAAATTGCAAAGCAAATACTTGTACATATTGTTAGTCCAATGATGATATTTATCAATTATTTCATTCAAATTTAGTAAAAATTTGTTTATTTCACTTTTGATAGCATTTTGCAAGTCATAAATCTTCATTAAGTTTTTAATTCAATTTTTGACACTTAAAGAAGAAATTTCAACCCTTCATTTATTTTTTTTTTATTTTCAGTTCTCTTCATTTCTTATATCATAAGTTGTATAACAAGAAATTGTGCTAAATTTACCAGATCAGTACATCGTTTATCGATGTTAACCTATTCGAGTGAATCTTTTTTGAAGCTATTTAAATCTGTTTGCGATCAATATTTCATTTTGATCAAATCACCAAAACAAAACCAAAAAAGTAAAAGTTGAAAATATGCGATAAACAACAATGCGTTAGAGGTTAGAACAAAAGCAGTAAAAGTATCTAATATTGAAGAGAAGTCAAAGCAAGAGAAGTGAGAAACACTTTGCAAAAGTTCGAACAACATGACACGTAACGAAACAAAAAAATGTATCCACATTTATCCATGAAAAAAAAAGTCGTGATACCGTAACGTAACGTAAAAAAATAAAAACCTAAAGTCTTCAATCACGATTTTTCGTTTTTCTAATAAATAATAAACGCCGTGACCCCACATTCAACAATTGTTATATTTTTATTTTATTTATTGTTATAGGAACTAAACGCACTCACTGACACATTCAACCTTATATATTTCGCAATGCAACAAAGAAAGTTTTAATAATTGTGCATTATTGCACACCTACATAATATTAATTAAAATTATAAACTTATCTCGTTAACTCACATCGCATTACGTTAAGGTTATTCTGTTTTGCGATAGTATCACCAGAATTTTTCGCATACCTTTGCAAATATTTTCGCCAAATTTATTAACTCCTTACAGCGCTGGCAGCGGCGTGCAAGGGACATGCATGAATGGGTTTATCGAAGAAAACTTGCCCGCTTGTCTTTATGGCGGCGCGTGATTTATAGACGCGCGATAAACGTGCGATTGTTGCTATTGCTACGATTGCTTTGTGGACAATTGCGACGCCGGTCGGGAGTTATAAGTTGGGTCATAAGTTAATCGGACTGATGAAAATGAACAAATGTACGGGTTTCAAGTGAGTACCAACAGTTGCAATGTGTAAATGTGTTAATATTTCGTGTTTGTGTTGGAAAAAGTGTGCAAAGTGCACTAGTAAAGTGGCAGTGTTTATGGATCAACGCATGATGTGGGAGGTGAAACAATGAAAGGAAAAATTTGATTCTTATCGATTTATCTTATATCGCGTATTGCAAAAGCTTGAAATTTATTTAGACATCAAGAGTCATAAATTAATATAAAAATAGTTTCTATATTTTTGTTTTCCGACGTAAATTATTGATTTTAAAATAATTACATTAACTTTTTTTGAATATTTTAAAGTAAAACAAATTATAAAATAAAAATTCGAATAGATAGACGTTTTTATTCAATAAAATTTTTGAATTTGTTTAGTAATTGTTCTATTTTTAGGTAATAATTCTATTGTAAATTATATTGAATGTTATTTTATTGTAAAAGTTCATGGAATACAAATGGTTAAACAATTAGAATCAATAAAATATTAAATCACTCTTAATTAACTAGCGATTATCTTTCAAAAGCAACGCGTGCGGCAAACTACGAAAAATTACAGACATTAAAAGAAACAATAGAAAACAGTGTAACAAATCATTGCATTCTTTGCAATTCTTTCTTGGGCGCGGTTAGCAGTATAAGTTTCAACACTGAGTGATGCTTAAACATTGTTTACTTCAGATATTCAACAATTAATATTAATATATCCTGGTATTCTTCAAATTTGTTTTGACAATATCTCAAAATCTCCTATCTCCAATCAAAGATCAAACAAGCAATCTTGTTAAATGCCAGCATATTGGTTTGTATTGTCACGGACAGACGATATCGCAGACGACATGCGCATAATTATCCAGCAGCATAATTAGAAAGTCATTATCCAGCAATTAATCGCGAATCACGAAGTAACAAATTTGTTCCAGTTGCGTCAGGAAAGGTGTATCAACCCGCCGCATGCATTGCCGAGCAAACGGCGCATGACTCCGAAATGTTCGCGATACGTATCGCGCTATAACCGATGACTGCCAAAAACAATTTAATAACATTGCACGCCATTAATGTAATATCGCACAGATCATCAAACACGACGCGTTATGCGAGTCTTCGAATTGAGTAACAGACGGAACGCATCTTTCGCTATCAGCAGATATGGTCCATTTCGCGTTTGAGGATCTATTTACGAGCAAAGCGAGCATGTTAAGCATGTTAAGTACATATTGCGCGCTGTATCGGTTTTATGATATCGATTAAATAGTCATGTAGCGTCGTGCGGTGTTCAATTCGTGACGATCCTTTCTTTGATTATGGGAAAATTAATAAATGTGTAATGGGCTTAAGGAAATGTTTTAAAATTTGATATTGACGTGAAAATATCATCATAAACCACTTGCAATAAGACATAATGCCTAGATTTGAAAAGATATTAAACTTTTCTTATTTAAGAAGCATTAATACGTTTGTGTTCAGTAGATGGCGCGACCTGTACTAAAACAAAAATTTTAAATTTGTAACCGTTTGTCATATGTTCATTCAGAGGTTATTGCATTTGCATTTGCGTTCTTATTCTGTTTAGTGCTAAATACTAATTTTAAAATGGGTGAAAATAAAACAATGGATAGTGAGACTTTGTATAGATTAGAAAGACAAGCTTATTTCTTTTATCCATATGAAATATCTACTTTAACTAAGAAGTGTAAATTCTACAAATATTTTGAGATTACAAGTGAAACTTTAGATTATTTTAGTGGAAGATGATACCAAGTTCATAATAACTGAGGGATTTCAGCAGTGCCGGAATAAATACCATGCTATTGCTGCAGAGGAAGGCAACATTGATGAATTTGAAGAATTTGATAATCCCATCCAGCTGGTAAAAGATAATTGTTTACAGAATTGTCAAAAATTCCTCACCAAAGTTAAGGTAAGGTGTTTTTCCGTTTTTCCTGTGTTTTTATGCAGCAGCAAGAACTACAAAAAAACCTGGCTGGTTACAGGATAAGCTGGAAGAAATGACCTTTATTTCTAATGATTTGGATCTATTCAATTATTCTCAGCAGCATGCTAAGAAGATTGATGAAACAGAAAATGAGTTTCAAAGATTGAAACAAGAACTGTTAGAGGTATTTTTCACAGTTTTTAGTATTTCATTGCTCTAGTTTGTTAATATTCTTACAGCAAAAGGTTTTTATTGCTCATTTGACACAAGAATTAAATGATTATGAACAACTGGATCCTCTACTGACAGAAACCGAACAGATTATTGAAACATTGAAAAATCTAAGTTTAGATGTTCCAGATGAAATCAAACAGCAGCTTGTGGACATGACAAGCAAGAATAGTATGCTGGCATATACTACAGTTAAACATTTGTAAAATTAATACTCATATTAAATATATGAGGATATATTTAAGTACAATCATACAAAACATCCAGTAACAACTTTATCATTCATAGTATTAATACATAATCACAAATATAAAGTAAACTTGCTATACAAATTGAGTTTTTGATTAATATTTTGATTATAGATAATAAATATAGTTAACTTAATATAAAATCAGTACTTTTTCTCATTTTACAACTAAAACTAGTTTAAAATTTATACTTGGAGTTTGTGTCACATTCAATATTAAAAGTTGCTCTCATTTTGGGTCTGCAAATTGACTCCTTGTACCTGAACAAAATGAGGAGCAAATGCAGCTGTTGATGGAATCACCTGAGCTGGTTCAAACAACAGAGTTGGTTGATACATCACCAGTTCCTCATACTGTGGCACATTCATAATAATTGGTGGAAATTGCTGTGCTTGTTGTGGCTGCTCTGGCAGTTTAGCACCAGTAGCAGTTTGTACATTATGTGTTTGACCAGTTGTCATAGTTGCAGTCCTATTTTTTGGGACAGTATTCTTTAGTTTATTAGCTATATTGTTGATTACTCGAGGAGTGTTTTCATTAGGTGTGATTGTAAGCTTTGGAGGTTCTGGCTGTGGCTCACAGGTATGCACAAAAAATGCAAATGGTTTTGATGATTCAGTTGAATGCAAGTGTGTAAAGTTCAGCTAAAAGTATATTAAAGTAAGTTAAGTAATTTCTTCTACTGAAATAGCAAAAATAGATACCTTTACAACAACATTCAAGCCTTGTTTAATATACTTGTTTTTCCGGCGGGTGTGAGCATTGTCAGTGAGTACTTTAACATCAAGTGTAGCTTTGCATCTTCGCGGATCAAATAGTAGCTCCTTCCTCACTTCACCAGGATGTGTCCAACATTGATACTGTTTACGAAAACGAATTTGCGGGCCGGTGTTAGAGATTTTCTTCACCCAAGTCGTGGATGTAACGGCCGAAAACAGATCGACCCATTCGTCACATAACGCATTGTAATCTTCGTTCTCTCTGGGTACTTGTGTACGGAATTTGGCCTCGAAGTTTTTGTCGTCCGACCATTTCGTGGATATAATTTCAAATTTTCTGTTTATACATGATAAGATTGAATTAAATTCGGACTTGGATGGTTCTTCTGCAGCCATTGTTGAGCTGCATTGGAATTGACGTCATGGTGACACTTAGGTCTTTCGGATCTTTTCGATCAATCAGCAGTCATCACGTAATTCAAGTTGCCTATATTATTATCTTTAATTTAAAAAATCAGCAATAAATTAATAATTGTATTCTAAATTGAAACAATATATACCCCTTAAATCATAAAAAAAATTTACTTAGTAAAAAATTAAAAGTTACACATAAGTTTGAATGAGTTATATACATTTTATAATTTTGTCATTGAAATGTATTTGTCCCAGATATTTATTTATCAAGTGCTTATCATTATCCCGCCCGTTTAGTCGAAATTGTACTGTGCGAAAGTCAGTAAATACGCACGCTGTTTGTAGATTCGTAAAAGATAGACACAGATAGCAGTTATGTCACTTCCAACGCCTCTGTTGTACCCTGTTAGTTATCAACCACAGACGCTTTTAGGTTAAATGAGTACTCATAGTTAAATTCTTAGTTTCGGACTCAATCAATTTAGTCGAGTCCAATGAAAATATTCACGACATTCATTAAAAGCATATTCATTGGACTGCCGATCGGTGTGACATTAGTGGACACGTTCGGCTATGTAGCCCGTGTGGACGGCATTTCGATGCAACCAGCATTGAACCCAGATAGGAATATTACTGATTACGTCTTCCTGAATCGCTGGGCCATCCGACAACTGCATATTCAACGCGGTGATATCATCTCCTTGATCTCACCAAAGGATCCAGAACAAAAGATTATCAAGAGAGTGGTTGGAATCCAAGGTTCAACACAACAACCACACATGATAGTAATGAGTAAGATAACTTAAATTTTTATTTTAAATTTCAGGTGATATCATTTCCACTCTTGGATACAAGAGAAAAGTTATAAAAGTACCTGAAGGGCATTGCTGGGTGGAAGGTGACCACACTGGTCATTCTATGGATTCAAACAATTTTGGCCCAGTTTCTATAGGTCTTGTCACTGCCAAAGCTTCATTTATTGTCTGGCCTCCAGCTCGGTGGCAGCTTATTAGATCTTCTCTGCCTGATGCTAGACTACCTCTAAATTGTACTGAAAAATCATAACACTTGCAAAATGCGCGCTATTTCTCTAGTAAAGCATTTAGAATTTGAATTCTCTGGTAATGTGCTAAGGAATGCTATTACGCTGCATGATGTAGACAATGATGGAAATTCAGAACTGATTGTAGGTAATGAGAGAGGTGAAGTCACTATATTTAAGGTAAGATTATAATATAAACAATAATTCACATACTAATTATAATGTTTTCTGAAAGGGCTATGAAAAATGGCAAACAATAAGCAATCTTGGGTTTGTTTGCTGTTTGGCAGTGGGGGATATATTTAATGAAAATAGAAATTGTTTAGTAATAGTGACAGGGGATGGCTGGTGTTATATTTATGGGAATTCTGCACAAGATGAAGTTAATGAAGATGAAACAAGCATACACAATTCAGTTGATGATTCTGTTGATGTGGTTGATGGGCAGATTTTGAGTGGTGAAAGTGAAGTACAAACATCAGATTCTTCTCATTCTAAACCCTTTGAAAAGAAACATGGTTTACAACAATTGCACGTACAGAGAATTCCCGCAAATACTAAGGTTTTACTTCTTAATATTTTTTTAAGTCCTAGTTATTCATGTAATTGTGTTTTAGTATATTCTCTTAGATGACATAGATGATGATGGCTCAGTAGAGATGGTATTAGGTTTAACCGACCGAGTTGTACGATCATACAGATGGTACAATCCTAGAAAATTTTTAGCATCAACAATTGGAAAGCGTAGTAGCGTTGCAGATGAATTATGCAGTAAATTGGTTGGTTTAAACAAATGGGAGTGCGCGAAGCAAATTGGTTCTGTTACTTTACATCACGACGCTGAAAACAAGCCGACATTACTGATCGCTCAACCGGGTGGTACTTTTATGCGCATTCGATACACAAACGATGACAAATTAGAACAAAGCGATTCCAGCACTTCGATTAGTGAATACCTAACTGGATCTTCGATTGATTACCAATTTCTTGGTTTATCCCGAATGCGTAACCAGAACATTTCTACGGAAATCATCGGAGATCTTAAAGTGCTTCCACAGGATGATAACAAAAGAGGTGCGCCATATGCGGTTGCAACTTTAGACGGCACTATTATGTTAGTCCAAGAAGAAATTATTTTATGGTTAGTGAATATCAAATTAAAATGTTTTCTCATTAATAATACTGCTTAATATGCAGGGCAATTGCGGTAGATCATCAAATCTTTGCGCTGACAAAGCTCGACGTTACTGGCAACGGAATAGACGACTTGGTTGCTTGTTCTTGGGATGGTCATACATACATTCTTGACCAGGAAAAGAATGTGGTACGTTTTCAACAGGGAGAGTCGGTGCAAGCGTTTGCGAGCGGCTATTATACGTTAGTTCCCGGCGAAAAGCCCGTTACATGCTTTGTGTATGTGACGTTTCACAACAAAATTCTGGTCTATCATGATATCTGTTTGAAGGATATGAGTAGTCGAAATTTTAGTGTGAGTCCTGACTGCATTAGTGATGTGCTTCAAGGTACCGACGCCAATGAAAAGGCTTCTTTAGCACACAGTTTAGATGAACATGACAAACGATCTATAGTTGAATATTTACTCTATGGCGTTGGAAGCTAAATCTTTTTGTATATGTAAATTTATTTTATTTGGGATAAGATCCTCAGGTGTATCTATCAAGTAAACAATATATTCAAAGTACAAATTATTGTTTGAAGTGAAGTGATTTTGCGTGGGCAGCGGTAGAAGTGACTCGTATTCAGGGCACCGTACATGGGCAGCGATAGAAGTGACTCGCTTTCAGGGCACCGTACGAGGTTGGCGGTAGAAGTGACTCGATTCAAGGCACCGTACAAGAGCAGCGGTAGAAGTGACTCGTGTTCAGGTCACCGTACAAGGGCAGCGGTAGAAGTGACTCGTGTTCAAGGCACCGTACAAGGGCAGCGGTAGAAGTGACTCGTGTTCACAGCACCTTATGAGGGTAGCGGTAGAAGTGACTCGTGTTCAGGGCACCGTACGTGGATGATTGTACAGCTGACTCCCATTTGCACATTTTTTCTTATGAATTAAAATTCCATCTCTTATATATGCATTTTAATTAGCTTATCTTATAGAAAATTTTCCGTAGATTAAGAATTTGAAATCTCTTCGTATATATCTCTTTTTGTTTACGAGATATTCACAATTGACATAACTCGTCAAAAACTGAAAAATTGAATATTTTAGCACTTTCAGTCGCGTTTTTAGACCTTTTTCCCGATTAAATTTAATTATTTTAAATTTCCATCTGATAGAGAATTTTCCAATCTTCCATAATCTATAATTTTCTGGTTGCTATCTCTTTTAGTTTAGAAGATAATTAATTGACAATATGTACTGCATACAAAAGTGGAAACACGTGGAAACATTAATTATTGATTATTATAGTCTAAATTGTAGGACTGTCGCATTCATAGATGGCACTAGAATGCACTAAAAATAATAAAATCGAGTTATACAAACGTGGGCACGAGAATAGTTTTGTATACAATGCTGTTATCTGCGATTCGGTGTAAACGACCGCATGTGTCCCGCGCGCTGTCTTCTAGCGCCGCATCAACTTGCAGCATGCAGCGAAGTCCAGTTTAGTTTAGATCACAGGTAATGTGTCTATTGCAAATTCGCGCACAAGGTCGCGTACCTTCGACGCGCCGTCTTTACGTACCTCTTGCTTTCTTATCATATACTGTCCCGTCATTGTTTACGCAGTTTTGGCATGCACTATCGGTGGATTGCAGCCAGTTTCTTGCCGGTCGCTGCTTAATCCACTCGTGTTTTCAGAGACTTCTATCATTTATTCGGACTTTAATATTCTAAATTTGTGTTATACTCGAAGATCAATCGACTATTTATTTGTACTCTGTGACTATAGAAATTTGTTTAATGTTGGGAAATGCCGGTTTTTGGATTTCATAACATTCTTCACTCGGCGGTGTGTTTGGTGTCAGTTGCAAAATTAATCAGATATATCTCGCCCCCATGTTGATACTCATCATTAAGAAAGATCCATCAGGTTCGTGTGAGTATTTTTTAACTAAACAGCTCTGATTGTTTATTCTGTGTTGATGGTTAATTATAACATAATTCAATTGTATGAAATATTTTTGTTTTAATTTATGTTTTCGTTTAGTTACAGCACTCGTTGTGCCTGGTAGTCCGATAAGCTGTAGGTACATTGGTAAGTTTATAATTCAAGTATATTTTTCTGAAATTTACATTTGCTGCTTATAAACAAGTTTTCTGTCAACTGGGGTAAATTCCCCGGGACCCGGCTGATTGCTCTTAAATCGCAAACACAAAAAAAATTGCGAAAAATTAACGTTTGCTGGGGCCCGCGCTGGCTCTCGACGGCCCTGCTCGCACCACTAGATTCGTGTATTTAGTAAAGAGTTTGTTGTAGTAGTGCGCGTGCAACAAGAGTCGGTGTGAGTCCATGCAGTTTTGTGAATCAAAGCAGACTTGTTGTGTGGGATAGGTTTATGTGCAATAACTTTAGGACCCAGTACCGTGCAAGGTAACGTTATTTTAATTCTTATTATTTTATTTTTTGCGCACTTCTAATTTTCATCAATATTAAATTACTCTCGTGCGACAGATCACCAGTATAAAATATTTCCTATAAAATTGAAGTGAAAAAATATATAATACTCTAAAAACAGTTCACAAGTTAAATTTACAAGAGCAAAAATTCATGTACTCATTTTAGTTTCATTGCTTTTGCTAAACGCAATATTTTCAATACCATCATCTTCCGTGACTGTGTCACCTTGCTTAACATATTTATATCGCATGGCCATCAACGCAAATATGACCATATCAATGAGCATCAGAGCGGCGTACAAGAAGAAATTATTAGATTGTTTTTCAAACGGTTCTATAGCTTCAATGATAACCACGATCAGATTACCTATGCAAGTGGTGAGCAACCAACCAGCTTGTAATACCGATTTCATGCTTAGTGGGGCTTGAGAATACGAAAATTCTAAGCCAGTAATAGAAAACATAATTTCGGCAACTGTAATAACAACATATTGTGGAATAATCCACAACATGTGCACTCGATTGTATGGAGTTATTGTATTAGGCACAACATTCTGAAAATAATTGCAAAATTAACTCGTGAATTAATCGAATTTGCTATTAAACACTCACCATTTGTGTATCAGAAAATGCATCAACAAGAACCGTGTAAACGCCTCCTAATTTGAATTCTATCTTTTGGGAAAGGTATTCTCCAATTTTAATGCTATATTCTCCTGGTTTCTTCAATGCCACAGGTTCATCTTTCTTGGTAACTTTCTCTTGCATATCGCCCAGGATATATGTTATTTCATAGTTTCTATCTTCTAGTTTATTTCGTATTAATGTTCTGACGATCGGTAATCCTTGCTCACTTTTAGCAAATGAATCAGTGAACGATTGTATTCCACTATATGACAAATAATATCCCATTGTAGTCTTTTCTTCAAAAGTTAATTCAATTGGAAGGTCCCCAGCTAAGAATGATTTGGTAATGCTGCCAGTCACACTCTCGTCTAATAAAACATATCCCATTTCTGGGACGGTGATGTTAATCTTTTCATCTGTTGGACTAGTTAATTTTAATTCTTTCCCGATGTTGTAAAATGTCACTTGCCCGGTTCCTGCTCTTGGTAATATAGGAGTTTCTGATTCTATTACCATTGAAATGCCTGCAGACATAGCAAATGCTATTGCTGCTAACAATCCACCCATAACTAAACGTTGCAAAGGTGTTCTCAACACTTTACAACGTGTCAACATTGGATAAACAACCATGTCGAAGAGAGGAATAAAAAACATAACTAACAGTGGATTGATGACCTGAATTTGATCAGGCAAAATAGTATAGAATCCAATGTCTCCATCCATTCTGCGCGCCATAAAAGTCCAGCCAGTGCCTTGCTGGTCAAATAATGCCCAAAAAACAGGCAGTGGAATATAAAGAATCAAAACTCTTAACAAAGCTTTAACATCTTTAACCAATGATTCACCATATTCAGGAATTGCGTGGTCTAACCAATGTTCTTTCTTTTCTTTTGATTTTGATTTTTCACTGATTGCATTCTGTAAATTATATATTGTGGCATATTGTAAGTTTCCAATGATTTGAACTTACTCCAATACATTTGCTGACTTGAATCACCATATTTCCTTCTGGTTCTTTAATTTTGTACAATGGTTTTCCAAGACCAAAAATAACTGAAATGCAGAATAATATTAGCCATATTCTTATTTGCAAACATTCTGAATTACTTACTAATTGAAATAATCATGAGCACGCCAGGAACACCAAATGCTAGTGTAAAACACTGGGCACCCCCAAAGCACTCCTGTTCTCTGAGCACAGGAGTTAAAAAGGTAGATACAAAACTACCTGAGTTAATTGCAAAGTAAAACATTGAGAAAAACGCAGCGAGTTGTTTGGTTTGTTGCGGAAGGGTGAATTGGTCACCTCCGAAGGCTGCCACACATGGTTTAATACCTCCGGTACCAATTGCTATAAGTAACAATCCTATCATCGTAAATTCCACTGGAGGCAAACCTATTGGTTTCGTAGCTGCAAGGGCAAGGATAATATTTCCGCACGCGTAAACAATTGACACGTAGAAAATAGTTTTGAATTTGCCAAGATAACTGTCGGCCAACATTGCGCCGAACAGCGGGAAAAAGTATACCAAAACGGTGAATGCATGAAAGATAATTTTCGCATCAGATTCAGAATATAGCAGCATGTCGGTGATGTAAATACTGAGGATAGCTGAAAAAAGGTCAAGTTTTACTTAGGAAACTTGTTCTTGTTGTGCATCTTGGCGATTTACTTACTTCGCATTCCATAGAAACTAAAACGCTCGCAGAACTCATTGCTGACAATAAAGAACACCGACTTAGGGTACTTAGGTTTCTGTAAAAAAGAAACAAATAAATATAAATAAAAAATAAATAAATTTATGTTAACTTAATTATTAGGCAAATAGAATCAATATTAGTTATGCTTCGCTAAAGCATTGAAGGATAAAATTAACCATAATGTAATTTACTGTTTTGTGTCTATGTTTCGTTGCAGTAATTATCAACCTTGACATGTGTGCAATACCCAATATCGCAATTATAATAAATTTCTTGAATACATATTTTTGTTGATAAATGGATTTAATTTTACCGAGGTATGTTTGGATTTACATGGTATTTTACTTATGGGATATTTCCAACGCAATTAACAAAACAATTGTTAGAAAAAAACTTATGTTCTACCTGTTGTATCTACATTACATTGATTACTTTAATAAGGTTGGCCATGGATTATCAATAAAAATGATTTGAATTTGTTTATAGTAGAATTACTATACTAAATTTGTACTATTATAAAATCACTATTATTGAAGAGCGCAGTTAAAGTAATTAAATGTCATTTATTGAACTTCAATAACAAACACCGTTGCGACATAACGAAGCAAAAATAATTATGAAAACAATTTGAACCGTTCGGAAGTTTTCAACAATAGCCTTTTTGGTATTGGAAATGCTAAAATACCTTTTTATTATTATCGCTCATTGCCAAGTCTAATTATATTATCAACTAGGTAGTTACGTGTTACATCTACTTATAGAAGCAATGCACAATATTAAATAAAAATTACCTCAACGTCTTTGTCAAACGCGCCCATGTTGAATGAAAATATCACAATATGTTATCAAATGAAAAAATCTAGTTTTTACACTAATTACTTTTGAATCACACACAACAACTCACGTAACACATAAATAATTTACTGAGAAGCGCCTAAATTGCGGATGTTAATCAAGGTCACGAATTATTTCATCTTTACAATGTGCATTGGTTGAAATTCATTTGTAAACTTGCGAGTTTTCTGCACAGGATTTTTTTTATAACACGATGTTTTTTTTATTTACATTTTTAACTTTGGCATTAGTTACTTTCACTGGATTTTATTCTAAATATCGAATACAATTTGAATCCTTTAATATTTTTAAGTTTAAGTCAATGCTGTACACTATTCTATTTTTTGTTTGTTTAAAAAGCGCACTTTAAAAGTTATTAGCTGTCTTGTTTTCCGTGTGCTGCTAGCACTGACAGTCGCGAGCGATACGACGGCAAATACATTCTACAATAATAATTGTGAATGAGCGGTGAATACCTTTTGCTTGTCCCCGCCAATCAAAATGTTAACCGAGGTGCGCTGTCGCAACTCATTGGATGTCATAAAAACTGGTATATGTACTCATTTCGCTACAACAATTATTACTCAGTAATCATGTTTGCACGCACGTTAACTTAACTTTTATTTGAATTAAACTTTGCGGATTAAAATTTTCAAGTCGGCTTTACAACTAAACAATTTACGATATTGTTACGAGGGTATTGCACTTATAATTTTGATCTTTAGTATTCAAATTTCAGTATTGAACAACTCTGGTGATTTGATGAAACTGTCATATTATTAAGTGGTTTAATCTTACTTTTTTATTTTGCATCTCATCACTTGAAGTCGATTCTGAAATAAAAACATAGTATAAATTGTATAATCAGACTGTGTTAATTATTGGCGGTAATCACCAATAAACGTTTTTAATATCATAATATTAACAGTTCATTAATTGAAGAAATATATAATTAACAGTCATAAACAATCTTGTTCACAGTTCATTGAAATGCTGTTCTTAAAGCGCAAGACCGTTAATATCCAAAATTGCGACTCACCGTTTTCTACCCAACTTTGCATATTTTTTACGTTCTCTCTTCTTTTAAGACCTCTCGTGATATCCGCACTTAAGTTTTAGTGAAACAATTGGGCAGTAATTCCGTATAGATCAATAAATTTCCTTTTTATAAATTAAATATTACTTACCAAATTCACAATTCTGCAAATCCGCCTCATTTTGTTCGTTGATTTTTGTTGCTATCACTAATAAATTAGTTGTTTCTCCAATTTCTTCAGGCACTTCATCTACTTCTTCACTACCACGTTTGGTATCGTGCATTTTCGAACGTAACTGTTTCTTTAGGTAGTCAATTAAGGATCTCGCGGTATTATTATCAGTGGCACATGAACTTTATCTGGCGTTACTCTTATTTTCAACTTTAATATATATCTGTCTAGGCTTTGCCATGTTTGCTTTAAAACAAATTTACATATTAATATTATAATCTGATTTCATGTTCATATATACAATACATGTACATAGTACGTAATCGGTATTAAATAATTTAATCCTTAATAAAACTTCTGAAAATTTACAACATTTCTTTACACCAATTACACAATTTTACTCAATTTTACACAATTGTTAAGCAAATAGTAATAATACAATGTGAGAAATTCGCTCAGTCCAAGGCTCAATCCCAAGTTTTCATTAATATATCTGGATAGCATTTCAAATTTGCTTTAATAATAAAATGTACATATTGTTTTATGCGGCGATTGAACTGATTGTTGTTATACATTTCATTCACTTGTTTCTTATCATTCGCTGGTTGAACTTCAGAATAATCGAAGTTTCGTGTAAAGTGGGACCACAAGATGTCTCGAGGTGCATCTGAATCGCGTAAAATGTTTTTGTTCTTAGGTGTTTTTTGTTATATTTGCCATAAATCTACAACTTTAACGTAAATAAATCTCAGGAAAGGTATAACTTGTTAAGAGAGTATCATTATTTAAAAGTTTTAATTCTTTTACATTAAAATAAATATTTTAATCCCGCAAGATATAATCAGGAATAATATTACATATCTATATAAAATATCTATATCATAAGTTTTGTCAAATACAAAGTTAGTTAAATACAAAAAAAATACATATCACTCAATTGTCTTAGTTCTTTTCGTTACTACTGCTAAAGCCATCATTTTCAATGCCCAAATCTTCACCTTCTCTTGGTTCGCCAATAGGCGCCACGTACTTATAACGCATAGCCATGAACGCAAATACGATCATATCAACAAACAGCATACCGGCATACAAGAAGAAATTGTTCGATTGCTCTTCAAATGGTTCCGCTGCTTCGACGATAACTACGATCAAGTTACCAAAGGCAGTGGTCAATAACCAACAAGCTTGCAATACCGACTTCATGCTTAGTGGAGCTTGAGAATATGAAAATTCCAAGCCGGTTACCGAAAACATAATTTCGCCCGCTGTTAACACAACGTATTGTGGAATAATCCACAACATATGGATACTGTTGTATGGGGTAATCATATTGGATTCAACATACTGAAAATACGATGCCAATTAGAGTTAGAAATAATTCAAACAAAACTTAGAATTTTATGCTTACCATTTCTGTATCTGAGATTACATCAACAAGGACAGTATAAACACCTCCAAGTTTGAATTCCATTTCATCTGACTCGAATGAGCCAATTTTTGCTTTATAGTTGCCCGGGTGTTTCAATTCTAATGCTTTATCTATGTCTTCCACTTTCTCCTTAGTGTCATCCATAATGTATGTTACCGAATACTCCTTATTATCTTTACTTCTAATCACTGTTCGGACGGATGGTAAACCTGCCTCGTTCTTAGCAAGTGAATCTGTGAATGATACTGCTTTATTGTCTTTTGAAATATAGTATCCGACGGTAGTCTCTTCTTTGAAGGTAAACTCAAATTGCTCATCGCCAACTAAGAATAATGTAGGTTCACTTCCAGTAACACTTTTGTCCAATTGAACATATCCCATTTTAGGAACTGTCATATTGAAGCTGTTGTCGGACACACTGGTTAATTGTAGTTCATCAGCAAAGTTGTAAAATGTGATTTGTCCCTCGCCTGCCTCTGGTAATATTGGGGCATCGGCTTCAATGGCAATACAAATGCAGGCAGAGATCAAAAATGCTACTGATGCTAATATACCGCCTGCAGTCAATCGTTGCAGAGGTGTTCTCAGAATTTTCAATTTGGTTAACAGAGGGTAAACCGCCATGTCGAAAAGTGGAATAAAAATCAAAATCAGAATAGGGTTTACAACTTGAACTTGATCGGGTAAAATGGTGTAGAATCCGACGTCTCCATCCATTCGTCGCGCCATGAAAGTCCAGCCAGTGCCTTGCTGATCAAACAATGCCCAAAACACAGGCAATGGAATATATAAAACCAATACTCGTAATAATGCTTTAACATCTTGAACCAAGGATTCTCCATATTCAGGAATTGCGTGGTCTAACCAATGTTCTTTCTTCTCTTGCGATTTTGATTTCTCACTGATTGCGTTCTGAAAATAACAGAAATACTGTAGTATTCTGCTAGTTTCTAATGATTTGAACTTACTCCAATACATTTGCTGACTTGAATCACCATGTTGCCTTCTGGATCTTTGATTTTGTACAATGGTTTTCCAAGGCCGAAAATAACTGCAAGTTGAAATAACGTTAGTCGTATTCTTGCTTATAACAAAATATGAATACTTACTAATGGAAATAATCATGAGCACACCGGGTACGCCAAACGCAAGTGTAAAACACTGTGAACTTCCAAAACACTCCTGTTCTCGGAGGACAGGAGTCAAGAAGGTAGATACAAAACTTCCTGAGTTGATCGCAAAGTAGAACATTGAGAAAAACGCAGCGAGTTGTTTGGCCTGTTGCGGAAGGGTGAATTGATCACCTCCGAAGGCCGACACGCACGGTTTAATGCCGCCGGTGCCAAGGGCAATAAGTACCAGTCCTATCATGGAAAATTCTGTTTGAGGCAATCCTATCGGTTCCGTAGCTGCAAGCGCGAGGATGACATTGCCACACGCGTAAATAATGGATACGTAGAAAATCGTTCTGAATTTGCCAAGGTAGCTGTCAGCCAACATGGCGCCGAAGACAGGGAAGAAGTACACCAACATGGTAAATGTGTGGTAGATAATTTTTGCATCAGCCTCGGAAAATAATAGCATGTCGGTGAGGTAAATACTAAGAATTGCTGAAAGTACAGTTAATTTACCAAACATTGTGCCTTGGAAATTTTTAGTTTTACTTACTTCGCATTCCATAGTAACTGAAACGCTCGCAAAACTCATTACTGACGATGAAAAATACCGATTTAGGGTATTTGACTTTCTGAAAATAAATAAATTTGAACTATAAAAGAAATGCTTACGAAAAAAAGTAAAAAAAAAGTAAACACAAAGAAAATCATTGTTCATAAAGAACAATATCGTGCATTTCAAACAATGGAATAATTTGTCTCACTCTGTAATACCCGATAACTTTATTATCGTTATCATTCATTGCCGAGTGAAGTTGCTTTACAAATTGAACACAGTTTCCTGATAATGTAATTTTTTATAGCACATCCCAAATATATACTACAATTACCTCAACATCTTCATTAAAGACACCCATCTTATTTAAATATCACAAATTATTCACGTAACACAATAAAGTTTCACACAGAAGCGCAAAAGTTACGAAAGTTAATCAAGGTCACACAAGGTGCGCGCATCCCAATGACGTGTGATAGATAAAATTCATTTGTGCTCGTTTTTCCGTTCTAGAATCATGAGTGAAACTTGCTTATTGTCAGGTTAACTCGCACAACTTTATTTTATTACAAACATTTTTAAGTTTATGTATTTGACTTTGGCATCAGTTACTTTTTACTTTTACTTATACAGCGTACACTCCGATAAGAAATCAAAGACAAATCCGGATTATGCACCAAAGTGAATATTCAGCACTTTTCAGAGTATTTGAATAAGTTTGCTGGATTAAAACTAGCGAGAAAAAATGATTGACGAATTTGTTGACGGTGTGCTGCGACTCGCGCTGTCAGCCGGTCAATGTTTACTTCTGCGCTCGCGGATCACAATAAAGACTCGTCGCGTGCGGTTAAAAAACACGTATTGTTTACCGAACTGGTCGACGATAAATATATTCGACAATAATAATCGTGAATGAACGCGCGGGGAATGCGAATGTGAATATTTAACGCGCGAATCAAAATGTTAATCGAGGTGTGCTGTCGCATTCATTGAAAGCTATAAAAATTTACTTGATAATATTTTAAAGACCGCTTTATAACAATTATACTTGGAGTTTTGAGTATTGTTTAAATGTGGAAGGGGAATCTAGAATTGAATGGTTTTAAGTGTTTAATTGTTAAATCCTACCTCTCTAGTTTCCAAATCATCAGTCGGTGCAGCTTCTGAAAAGAAAAACATCATGTTAATTGTTTAATTATGGCTATCACTAATAAGAAACATCACGAAAGTATTTATCATTACTACTACAATAATAAACGTATAAATATAATAATATAGATGTACCAAACTCAAATTTAAGTGTAACTGTTTTATTTTCTGAGTTTTTTGTTTCCGGAATTTCGATTAAATTAGTTTCTTGAACTTCATCTGAATTTTTGCGTTTTAATGAGTCCATTTTCAATTGCTACTGTTGTCCCTACTTGTAATAAAGAATAAAATTCATGTTATCAGTTGCACATGAACATAATCTGGCATTATTTTTATTTAAAACATTATCTGCCTACGTAGTGGCTTAAGCCTTTTCTTTGCTTGACTTAACAATCATATAACATTTCAGATTTTGGAATAGTAGTAGTAGTATATCAACATCTATAAAGTTGTTACTTGTTATAAAATTTCATGCCACAAAATCATAATTAAAGTGAATCGTCATCGCCATTAAACGTGTGTTAAACTGTTCCAGATACGATGACAATCGTAGCATCAATTGCGATATATTAAAACGATTGGCGCTTGGCACATTTATAAAATTGCAAATAAAATCTTTTTTTTATCCGCAGCGTCCGCATCTTTAAATTATATCGACCGCGAATCTTAATAAAGTTGAGACATTGAACGGAATGAACTGGGTCTATCGTTCAACTCGTTTTTTTGCAACTCAACCATGAACTACATACTCAATCCACCAGTTGGCATTTAGTTAGTTAAGGTGTCTATTGGCAAAATCATAATAATCAAATTTTAACATTTACATCATATGTTTATCACGTGCGTTTTGATTTGCCAAAAAATTGCATCACATTGGACTTGATTCTTACACGCAATGCACATGACATCATTTAACTATAACGTACGGTATAGAGTACTTATCTTATCAGTAGCCACATATTATAATTTACAGTTTATGAAACAATAGGTAAAATAAATCCCGTGGGTACTTACAAACCTGATAGGTGTTTTGATAACAGACTTTTATTATGTGCTTTGAGTAAACAGCTCCTTTCCGGCGCTATTGATGTATACGCAACTTTCATATAATTGTGCGTAATAGAATATGAGTGTCAATCAATAGACGTAATTTACTATTTATCCTTTTCTTGGATTGCTACTCAAACTATCCAACTTAAAACAACTTAAAGAAAATCTCGGTTATTGACAATTTCCTATTTAATTTAATAAAATTGTTGCACTTGTTTGCACTTGCTGGCACTTTATTTTTAAATTAAATAATAGTTTCTCCAATATAAATAAAATATCTTATTTTTCTTATGTACGCTCAATACTAGGTTACTTTAGTACGAAATTAATTTGGTCTTACGGAAATAAATAATTTTGAATATTTTTTTGAAACTCACCAATTGCGGCCGGATCCGACTTTCTTTTTTCAACGGTCATTTTGAAATCCTTTTTTGCAAAGTAATTCACGTGATGGTAAAACTTTCTTGTCTTATACAACTAAACAATTCGCGTCAACCTCCACTGAGCGAATGATGCGATGGCATACAACGAATCGAAAATATTCTATTATAGCTGATAACAGAAACTTATGTATTGCTTATTCCTTTATCTAGGCAATTTATCACATTGTTGATCTATCAAGATCTAAAGCCTGACAAAGTTTATTAGCGTATTATGAGTATTTTGATATGCAAAGATAAAGAAAAAATTTCCTAGTAATCCAGCTTTAATATAAAACTAGACAATTGTTTTACATATTCTTTATTTGGCGTTTATTGAATTGAGGAAAGTACAAGTTTGATAAGTTTGATAATAGTGTCAATTAGTTTGTTTGTTTTATAAAAAAACTAAACTGATTAATAAAGTCAAGTTGCTATTGCGTGACTATAGTAATAGTTAATAATAATAGTAAAGGAATAGGTAATAGTAAGATGTTGTTCGAAAATACAACTTTTTATTGTTATATTTGATGCTAGTCTATAGATTGCAATTTGCACAAAACCTACATACACTAAAAGTCAAAATCACTCTTGGAAAAATAATAAAGATTGATCTTAACTAACAAATCAGATCACTTTGATTATAATCACAGTTTATCTCTAAAAAATATCAATCAATCGTATATTTCGACACTTCCTTTACAATTATTATGTTATTTGTCACGCACACACCCAGTTTCTCATAATTTTATTGTTTTTCTTCTCATTTAACAAACGCAGTATATTATTGCCGCACATCCTCTATTTCCATCGTAAATATTAAATATGCTTTGTGCATAGGTAAACTTAGATTATTACGTCTTGTCAAGTGCATTAATTCTGTTCATAGATGCAACTTCTATCAACTGCATCACATTAGTGCCGAAATCGTTCTCATCATCAGAATCCTCATATAGCGGTTGCAATTCTGACATTACAAATATTGAACTGTCTGCTTCCAACTCGACGAATTTATATTTACCAGCCATCTGTGTAAAAATCATCATATCGCCGACGATCAAAACCGCAAACAGGAAAAATTCATACGCCTATAAAATACAATGTAAATAACACCCAAGTTGAGCTCATCGAGATTTTATATACTACATAATCCTCATCATCGTCATAATTATCTAAAACTTGATGAGTAAGTATCGGAGAAAGTAAAACGCATTGTTTTTTTATCTTAAACAATACGTACTTTACATTCTCTCATGTGAGACAAAATATTGATGATGACAATCATATCAACTCGGTCACTTCAATATAATAATTGCCCTTAAAAATATTAATTCATATCTTTTGGAAAAAAAGTACAAGTGCAAATAGATAAGATCGTGATACTTTAGACTTGAAATCTCCTCGTGTTTTACAGTGGCTTGGTCTACTCAAAACGCAAATTCTAACAAATCACGGACACACATTTAGTTTTTAAACATGTATGGCATGTAGGCATTATGCTAATAATGTGGGCCAACGCGGTGGCACTTGTTCGACGCTCGTCACTGACCTGACTTTTAAAAATATTAGCTTGTGCAACCACTATGACCATGAGATTACCGATCGCCACGGAAAGATACCACGATGCTATCGTAACAGTTTTCATACTCTTCGGTGCTTGGGTAAAGGAAAATTCTAAGCCGGCAACGCCAAACATGATTTCCGCGACTGATATTAGGAAATATTGAGGAATCAACCACATTATGTTGACGTTATTCGGCGGAGACATTGTATACAATCTATTAAACTATAACAAGAAACCGGTTTATATATTGACTTAAAAACAGTACAGTTAATACGGTACTACCTCTATATTTGAATTTCGTTCGCCTACTATTAATGTATAGACACCTCCAAGTGCCAAATGGACGTATCCTTCTTTATCAATTAAGTTTTTGGCGCGAATCAAGTAATTGTATCTTAAAATTTGAAAATGGATAAAGGAAGAGTTTAATTTCATAAACATTTTAATACTTACCCACCAGGCGGTAATTCTAAATAGTCCGAAACTAACATTGATCGACTATCATCCGGGAAGAAGTAAATATCCGTCAATATGTGGCTTATTAATGATACGGTCACATTTCTCAGGAATTTTGAACGTTGCAAAAATACAATTCTGAAAATTTGCAATTAAAACATTCGGTTGCATCAGTTTATTCATTACCGTAATCTGGGTTTTCCGCTGAGTGATCTTTTGAATTCGATTGGATCCGTGATGTAATCTGCAATTGTGTACTTTCTGTTTATTGCAATCACTATCGTATCTACCTAAAAACAAGTTTATACAGTGTTGCAATCAATGGCAACAGATTTGTGCATCAGAATATTTACTTGTCTCTCAACGGCTAAAATTCTCATCTGAAACACTTTCTCCGGCAATTCGTAAACACCACAAATACTTGGTGCGATGACAGTAATATTGTACTCAGTTTCTTTTATTGCTGGAATATTTTGAAAAGTATACATTTCGCTTGCGTTTAATGCAACTCGTCTTCTGAATGGATTGATAATGTCGATTCGACATGGAGTAGTGTTGATTATATTCACAGATGCTTGATAATTACCAGGCAACTTTGGATAGTTTTTTTCTAATTCAAGTTCTAATACGCCGGCAAAAAGAAATGCTACGCCAGCAATTAATCCGCCTACAGCCATACGATGTAACTGATTCGTCATAAAGTTGCGTTTTTGCATCATTGGATAAAGGCATTTGTCAAAGAACGGGATTAAAAATAGAACTAATGCGGGATTGATAACTTGCATTTGGTCAGGAACAATCTGTATTCCCATAAAAAAGCCGTCCATCCGACTGGCTTGGAAGGTCCAACGAGATCCTTGCTGATCAAATAACGACCAAAATAATGGCAAGGGAGTATAAAGTAAAAGCACCGCGTAAACAACTTTCATATCACGAATCAATTTGCGGTTATATTTATTCTCCGCGTAATCCAGCCAATGTCCCATTTGCGACTGACTCTTGATGCGTCGAGTGAGTGCATACTAAAAAATTCATAACTAAAATTACGAATACATTAATATTATATTTATATATACTGATGTGCAACTGACAAACTCCATCATCACGTTACTTTTAGGTTGTTTCATACGATACCAAGGTTTTCCTAACATAAACAGTGCTAAAATTAAAGACAATATAAAGATGATTATTCTGCTGCGGTTAGTTTTAAATTACAGAGCGATAAAAACATTAATATAGCAGGAAATCCAAATCCAAGTGCATAGCATGTGTCATCACCAAAACATGTGACTGCATTTCTTAGTATTGGCGTTAAAATCATGCCAACAAATCCTCCTAAATTAATCGCAAAATAGAACAATGAAAAGAAATGTTGCAATTTGTCACGTTGTATTGGTAGATAAAATTGATCACCACCAAAAGCAGCAACACATGGTTTTGTTCCACCACTTCCAATAGATATTAGAGTTAATCCAAATATTGTTGCGAAACTATTAAATATATTTGAATTATTTTAAAGCAATTAAACTGATAAGAATTTACTTACATTGGTGATATTTCAATTGTTGGAATAGCAGCTAAAATCATAAACGCATTTCCAGAAATATATACTATTGAAAAGTACAAAATTGTTCTGAAAATGAATATTTGAAGCATTTATTTTAAAGGAAATAATGAGTATTACCTGTAACGACCTAAAATACTATCTGCACATATAGCACCAACTATAGGAACAATATAACATAACATAATAAACACATGATAAACAATAGTTGCGCTGTTTTCAGATAGATGTAATTCGTTTCTTAAATATAACGATAAAATAGCTAAAAAGTGGAAAAACACAATTAAAAATATATAGATTTTTATTTAAAACAATAGTAACTTACTGCGTAAGCCACAAAAGGAAAACCGTTCCCAGAATTCGGTACCAATAATACACAGTAACGAAATTGATGTTTTCTGCAAGAAAATTATTTAAATAAACTTAAAATTTGAATAAAATGATTGCAATCCTTACATCCATTGAAATGTCATTTCTAATGACAATTGACAAAAATCTATTATTCTTTTGGTTTCTCTGGAATTTTATAAAACAATTTGTGTAAACAATGGAATTGTCTTTTTAGTTACATCGCCGTAGATTAGATTGATAATATCAACATTTTCATTGATAAAACGGGAAGCAACGATTCAACGATCTTATCCTTTCATATCATGGCTTAATTTTTTAAACAACATTTGTTGAATGAACTTAGATTTATATATTGTGGATATTTCATACATTTGTCATTGGTATAGTTACAACTTTTAATACAAATACATCTCATATCAATTAGTATAACTATTAATATTTGTATACACAATACATCAATATAAAATATTTTAAATATTTTTATAAATTTCCATAGCCTTAATTCATGATCTGTATAATCTCTGCGTTTTTTTTTTTGATTTTTGTTTTTCAAAAGTTTCATCATTCTGTAATAGAATGCAAAATATTCATCAAAAATGTGTATTACATTTACAATAGTACTTAATAATAACTACATGCTTTTATTTCAGAAGTTTAAAGCTTCATTAGTCGTGAGACGATACCATATAGACATTTCAAGATTTAATTATTGTTATTTGTTCGAAATTGTTTGCAATCTTCAAATGGAATGAATTATTTATCTGTTTAGAATACCGCTTGTTGTCCCCGAAATGTATTTTTAGTAAAGATTATCTACTAAAAATGCATAGTATTGGTAATATTTGTGGCCAACGGCGAATTACTATTTATTTTTGTGCTAGATGCAATATTCTAAATTAATGTTTTGAAATGTTTATGTAAGTTAAATTGCCATTCGTTGTGATCGCATTAACATGATTAAAGAAACCAAAGCATACCTGGGAAAATTAACTTTGCGATTTAAGTTGGTCCCAGTGAAATTTACCAAAAAATCAATTTTCAAATGTTATAAGGAATGCTAAACAAATTATAGTTTTAAATTACGAGTATGTTCCGATATGAAACTTAGTATAACGCAAGGGACTAATTTTTAGATGGCATCTTTAGTTATATTATAAACATTAGCATTTAATCAAAATCACAGCTGGGAAGAAGGCAACACTTATTACATCGTGTGTAGACCTACCTGACTACCACTTTTTCTAATATAATTTATTTATTTCTTAAGTATCCAAGTGGCAGATATTAATATAAAAGTAATATTATACCACATTAAATAAAAGTAATGTTTGTTTTCATTATTTACAACAATCAGTAGAGTAAAATCTTCATAATGAGATATTACTTTGATATTAAATTTTGATCACGTATGTGATTTACGTCAACATAAATTATGGACTTTGGTCACCTGTTTTGTTCACGATATCTTATCTCATCTTTTTTGTTTTGGTATTTTATCGTTAATTCTACTTTTTGACTGTATCAATAGCAATTCGTTTGTTTTCCTTATTTTCCGGATGGAAGGTATCAATATTCATTGGTTTTAATAATAATACTTTTGGCATAAAATTATCTAAATATTATACCAGTTTGTAAACTGTTGGTTGGAAATCTTGATCGTTGCAAATTTTTGGGCGAAATACCTTTTCATGCTATATAATATGTATATCCTTGTTAGTTTATAAATACTCTCTGATACAAAACCAACGCCTGTCGCCTCATTAAAACAACGCATATTTAAATATTTGTTAGCTAAATGTATGCAAATTACACCCAGACACCCGTCCCGGGAACGGAATCGTCTCATCATAATTCGTAAACATCCCTGCCGTTCGGTCGATGCGATGTGCGATTTGCTTGACCTTCCCGTGAGCCTCTCATCGGACTGCTATAAATATTGTACCCAGGTATGATGTGTACCCGCACATCGCCTGAAGGACGGACTCCTTCGGGTCGCTGGCGCCTCCCAAAGGAGACGGTCGTCTTACAGCAACAGTAATGAAATAGATTTACGTATGCGTCGCGAAAGTGGCGATTCAGGCAGCAGTACAAAATACTATTAACGCAGGATTTGCTAATGGCGAACCAAGCAAAGTTATAAAACAGTCTATCCGGGATGCGCTTTGCTGTGCCCACAGCTAATACAATGCCAAACGGTAGCCAGAATACAATGAACAGGAGGAAGCTGTACATGTTCGTTTGCATTAGAGAATAGTCCCAACTAAAGGTAATTGGTGGTTTAAAGTTGGGTCTGGACTTGGCCGCGCTGATGTGGTAAATCGTTCGGGCATAACAGCAGAATGCCAAGGTGACTGGCAGCACGACGAACACCACGGCAATTGTGGCCTGATAAGGTATCAGACCGGAATACTTACGAGTGCAGTAGTCGAAAGATAGATCTGTTGCTAGTTGAACGCCGGATATACTTGCGCAGGTGAACCATATCACCAACAGCAGAGTTGTTATTCTGCATGGGGTGAGTACTTCGTAGGTGCAGTTGGTACAGCATAAACGAGTGTAATTCTCAACTGCAATCGCAGCGATGGAGATTACGGTGACGAGGAAGCAAAGTGCGGCGAGGAACCATTGAAACCGACAGACCGCGAGGTTATCTTTCAAGCCCGCTAGTATTACAATGGCTGATGCGGGGACCAATAATCCTGTCACTAGGAAGTCTGCTAATGCCACGTTTACCACAAATGAATTTCCTGAAATAAAAGCAAATAAAATTATAAGCTTTATTTCATAAAACTGACATTCATCACGAAAACAATGAAAATTAATTTAAAGTAATTAATAGTGTGCTAGATAATATCCCAACTGCAAATTAAATTAATTAATTTTTAGCACTCTGCTAATTTGTATAGCCTTCAACCCTCAATGGGGTTCATTTGCGTCCGCTATATTATTATCTGTGACTTGCCAATGAGGGAATTTTCCATTCGCGTAATTGCCACCCGATAATCATCAAGTTTTACAATGCAAATGAATTATTAGCAATACGCCTTTCCACTTCGTTGTGCAAATTTGAGCATTGATGTCAATTATAACCTTCTGACTTGATAAAATTCTGGATACTATAGCAAGTATTCGATAACTGGTTTTTTTATCTGAATTGAATATAACTATTCTCGCCTAAACAAGAAAGCAAGATGAAAGCAGAGAACAACAGCAGATCGTCGCCGTTGCTAAACAGGGTCGGTATGTGACTATGTGCACAGATCGATAGGGCGACGATGCTTACTCATTCAAATGTTCACGACTTGAGATAGCGTAGGTGGATTGCCGGCGAATTGGTTGGCAAATTGAAATAATGCAAATGGTGCAAACACGATGATTGCATTCAACAAACGTTGGGAAGCTTGAACATTGTTACGCGCTCATCTCGACCTATTGTTATTACAGTTTAAACCCAAAGGTAACATTGGGGCAAACTAGAAATCTCCACACGTTCCACTCTCTTGAGATTCAAATACAATCATCGTTAATTGGTTATTCAAATGTAACTAACAGTTATAGTTTGTGTCTACATGTATACAGTTTATAACTTTAACCAGCTACAGTCAAATGAACAAATTATAAAAGGTGTGTAGAAAATGTTTTATTTGGCCAAAGCTATGGCGAACAATTTAATTTAAAGGAATCTTGGCATAGTAGATGCTAAATGTCATGACACCGGGGTTCGTTACGCCCTTTACCTTTCGACCGATGATCTCACATTTCACAATATAATATAAAACGGAATTAATGTGGCATGACTGCCGTCCCCATTCTGCGCGCTATCATAACTTGCGTGGTACTAACGCGTATCATGTTCAGTATGTAAACAGTTTAATCATTCGCAATTTCATTAAAGCGTACGTGAAGAAAACAACTTCTTTAAAAAGCAGTTTAAAATAAACTCAGTTTTATTGATTTCTTAAGCTGTTTGTTAATTAGCAGCGAGTTTCCTACAAGTTCTAAAGTATAAGACTTTTAGTAACTGATTTTTTAATTAACTTTTAGGTTTGCACAGAAAATAAATGTTGTTTAAAAAAGTGAGAAACAATTTTTTAAACATATAAAAAACTTAATGGAAATTGAAATCGGAAAATTGTTATATTTAATACACATTTATTACCTCTTCGCCGAAGATAATCTTCAATCATGACGGCGCTTATCATAAACACATTTCCCACACTACCAACTGCCGAAAGTCCTGCGAGGAGAAGCAATCTCGCCACCCTCGACCAATCGGAACTCAACGTCACGGGCGATATCGAATCATCTAGCACTTTAGATGTTATATTGTGCAACATGACGTACGATTTTCTGAAAGAAAGTAAACAACCTATTTGTCATCACATTATGTCTCTTGGTGCTACAATATTATTATAACATGCAGGGTAATACGTTATGCAAAGAATAAATTGCGGCATGTTTTCTTTCCAAATGTTGAATTTGTTTGAACTATGCCTTTGGATTGTAGTGTCAATCACGTTCATCGAACAAATTGAATGACTATTATTTTATGACGACAGCTTGTTTGAGGCAGACAATCAATAGCATCAAAGCCGCTCACCATTCGCTCTTTTAATATAACGAACCTTTATCTTTTTTCCGTTCGTCTGAAGTGAGTTAACAAAACAGACAAATAGTTTCCATTTGCAAATCATCTCACATCACAGAGCATTCGATTATCTTGCATTGATGACAAGCTTGATAAATGTAAGATTTTTACAAGCATGAATTTTTATTGATTCCCTTGGACTAATTTTATTTTAAAGTGCAAGAATTACCTGGCACGAAAATTTAAATTACAAGTGGGTTTTCTTTCCTCAAATTTGCATAATATTGATTTCTTCGCATTTCACGTGGAGTGTTGGTGGCTTGACGCGTTTACACCGCTTGATTGCATGTGCTCAACCGTAGTCAGGATCTTTATTGCTCGTTCCGCCCATTGTGCTAACATTGTTACTCAAAAATCCATTAAACTACAATAAACAAGACGTACGTGTATTTGAAATAGCACCGGCGATTGGTTCCTCACTTTGAACCAGATGTTTGTATGTTTTACCAAAATAACTTTTCGATATTCTCGACTTTTCGTGCAATTTTTCTCCTTTGTTTCGTGCGTGGCTAGTTATGTAGAAGTTTTTGCGCAGGACATATTAAAATTCTAAAATAAACTACCAGCTTGTTGAAAAACTTGCTTCAATTGCAGTGAACGACAATATTAAATAAATTTTAACGACAAATTTCCGAATATTATAAAACAGTGCTATTTTTGGGCTTTTTACTCTCGGAAATAGAGAGAAGCATTGGTGATTTTGCTTTTTGCATGATCATGTTTTTAGCTATAGAATTGTGTATAAATGTGAAGTCAAATAGATGGCCCGACTGATGGAGTACGTAATATTGTGGATAGTGCGATTCATGTGATCCGGGAGGGCAATAACCACTATTCATCCCGATATATGAGCCGCTTATTTTGAAAGTGGCCTAACTCCATTTATCTTCAAATCGAGATATTGAAAGTTTTGCGTTTCAATGAATTTAAAAATATACGTATAAGATACAAAGGAGTCATACTGCTTAAGCATATTTTAGGATGTTAAATTTAAAGTTCCTGTTAAAATAGTGGCAATTATTAAGTAAATAACGTGCGTTTCCTTATCAAGAATGGAGTTGGGCCACTTTCAAAATTAACAGCCAGATTCATTATAAAATTTGAAGATGCCCAAGTCCATTCAACATAATTTAAGATGTTTCAAATTGAAGAAAAAAAACGTCTTCGTTTCACAGACAGCTTCGTGAAGTAATACATTTTGTTTGTTAAAATCTGCCAAACCCCAAAACTTCTCAAAAATATTCTTTCTTTCTTCTTCATTAAAATTTTTTGTGCACGCATTCCGACAACCACAATCTTTGTATTCGAAATTTTTTTCATGAACAATACTTCCGGTTTAACTGCAATATCTTTTTCCTGAATTCCGTTTTATCTTTCGCACTTTTTGGATATATGGTGCATCAATCTTTTCTCCATTGTTATTTGAATCTTCATCCTCTGACGAGGAATATTGTTTTATAACTCTTTTTCTTATTCGCTTTTTTTTTATTAATTACTATTTCTTTTTCACTATCTGAACTAAGTGGTCTTCTTCGGTTCTTCCTCATGGGTGCAATAATTTCTATTATTTAATATTAAATTTTAAGTTTTATATTAATTAAACGTACAGGTTAATTAACTAACGCAATTGTCCCAAAAATGACTTGTAAATACTAATTAATTGAAATTACCTTCATCGCTGCTTTCCGACATTATCAATAGTAAATACCTTGATGTAACTATAAATGGAGTTAGGCCACTTTCAAACCACACGGGTCAGTTATTCAATTAACTCGGAAAACCTATGTGTAAAAAATGTACCGTATTTTCTCTGAATATAAGCAATCTGAAGTGCGTCACTGATAAATAACATGAAGTTGTACATGTAATCATGGTAACCGGCAAAAAATTGAAAAACGGAGTTAGGTCACTTTCAAAATAAACGGCTCATATATCGGGCGACATATCATCGAAGGGTAATCGATACCGACTCTCACCACCAATACCTGTGCCCTCCCTCTCTATATTAGTGTTGGTAATTTACTGACGATTTTAAAAATGTGTTGTAATCGAGTTTTTAAAGCGATTCTTAAAAGTGAGATGAAATCAAGTGGCCGTTCTTGAGCTGGATTTTTATTGATTTTGTTCTCTGCTTTGTTATTAGAGAGGGGTAGTTTGTTGAATTTTATTATAATCTGATGAGCACATACTGATTCTTAGTACTTCAATAGATGTCCTTGAATCTAATCATTGTCACTTGTACGTATATATGTGTTAATAGCTTGAATATAACTTGAAATTTGCTAATGTTTAATTGTGGACTAATCTTCGATAAACACTATAAAATTTGCTTAATTTGAATTAGTATATTTTTTGAGATTTAAATAGTATGATTGCAAACATTTCGTATCTAATTCAAAGATTCAGTTTTTGCGCTCCTCGGATAGCTAGCTCTTTTGAGTTCTTTTTAGACGTGACCGAGAGGGTCAATCTATGGATTATAAACAGTTGCCAGACGAGAATTACGGCACGCGCGGTCATTTGGATAAATTAGATATCTAAAAGTTCTACGTGCTTGAAGGAATTCGGCCAAAGCTGAGCTTCTTCCAACACAAGACCCATTATTTCAATGATACTTGTCAATTAAGTTTATCTTTTTGAGTTATTTATATCTCAGTTGCTTTGGTAAATAAGATAATCAAAGAATTAATATTCAAGGGTAAAACTTGACTGAAATACCCCATACCCAAATAAAAAATAGTCTAAAACGTCTGAAAATTTTATAATTAAATAAAACAAACACATACAAATTTTAAAACTTATTTTAAAGAAATATATTTTTGGATTGTTAATTATTGTCGGAACTTGAAACAGCTCACGCAAATTTAAAATATAATACTCATATATACATCTAAATACTATTGGTCACGTTTTGTACCACGAAATGCGATGTGTTTGAAGCTAAAATATTTAATTAATCTTTCACTTACTTGATTTAATTCTTTATTGAGTTAATTAAATTCCTCCATTCAATTCAATGCCAGTTTGACTATTAAATATGTTGACGTTCCATCTTTCCTTTCCCTGTTCTTGAAAATCGAAGCACAGCCATACACTTGATTAGTCCAAGTTTAATTAATCGACGGATCGTTACGTTAATGCTATTCGCTACGCTTGCGGGCGGTATATAAGCACATCCAGGTGCATTAGTATGTTAAAACGATATGAATACTTTGGAGGCGGCTGCGATCGACTGAACGAACGCTTTGGCGGTCGCTGCCCAACTCGTCGTTAGAGCGCTTGGACGGGTCTGCATTCTACGCTCGCATCATGCATCGACCCCCGTCGTACGACGTCGCCGCCGGCCGGTGGCAGTGGTGGTGGCGGCGACGGCGACTCTCTCTGTCGTCGCTCTACTAACAGCCCGTCGTATACGCAGCCGAATGAGGCGGACGGCGGTGGACGACGACGGCAGTTTTAACAACGCCGCCAGAACGTTGGCGGCTGACGGCAGCGAGTGCTTTCATTCATCGCATGCGCAACAGGTTATTTATATGGATAACATTTATTTCAAATGGCTTCAGAAATCAAAATATAATTCAAGAAATACATGCCTTTACATTATATTAACCCAAAAGGGTTATATAAAGCATTTATTATTTATTTTAATTTTTAAGCAAATATGCACCAGAATTATGAAATAAATACGTTTTAAGACTACAAGTAAATAGTATAAAATAATAGGTATTCTTCACGACGAAATTTGCAATTTTGTTTAGAGAATTTTCCAAAGTTTCATAATCTTCAATCTCACTGGTCGCTAGCAGTTTTAGATTAAATGATATTCGCTACCGTAGATCCTCAAAAAAACATGCGGCAGCACCCACCCTTGCCCATTTTTTTTCTTATGAATTATTTTTTTATATTTCAAATTTCCCAATTAAATTCAATAGGTTTAACTTATCGAGAATTTTCCGTAGATTAGGAATCTGCAATTTGTTCCTTTCCATCTCATTTAGTTTACCAAATATTAGCAACAGGAAAAAATTGACAAAAATTGAAAAATTTTACTTTTTAACACTTTTAGTCGCATTTTTCGACCTTTTACTCTATGAAATTAAATAATTTAAAATTCTTATCTAATAGAGAATTATTCAATCTTTCATAATCTACTATCAGATTTTCATTTTAGCTAGCTTACCTTATAGTGAATTTTGCGTACATTAAGAATTTGATCCGTTCTTGCCGATGCACCGACATGTGCCGTTGGGCGCCCTACTCGGCTAGCGGTAGAAGTGACTCGTGTTCAGGGCACCGTTCGAAGGTATCAGTAGTGAGTTGTATTCATAAAATATAAAATATAAATTTTGCTATTAGGAACTGAAAAAAAAACTGGGAAAAGGTGGCCGATTCTAATACTTACGATTTTAATTCTTTATTTTATAGAGAATACTTAAATTAGTTGCGATTTCGTGAACATCAATTATTTAGTTAACTAAGGTATTTAGTAAACTTATACGAAGACAATTAGAAGACATGACATTATTTATTTGTATTGGTAAATTACAATCTCCTGCTTTTCCTCATCTTTATTGCATCCCAAAACCAATATATTCTTTTCTTATGGCGAGAAATTTTGAAAGTAAAAGTAGATTTCGTACATGTGTGTTATTTTAAATATTATGAATTTTTACTTTCGTCTTCTCAAGTACGTGTTTACCTCTACGTTTGTTAATAAACAACGTTTTTGTTCGATTGACGTGTATTATCGCGAGGTACCCGTCTTGAACCTGGCAACGCGCAGCGCACACGGCAGTCGCTTCACCGCGTGGTCCGCGGGCGCGTCTCACTACTAGCCACACGTTTTCAGACTTCAATTATTCAATGAATCGTCGTGTATTCTTTTCGTCATCAGCACAATATTCGTAACGAGTATGTATGGCTGTTTTGCTTGATGAGTTATGGCGAATAGAGTGATCTTAAGTAAGAAATAAGTGTCTATTAATATCTGCACGAGCTCTCTCTCATCTGATTAGATATATTCCTGGATCTATAATCTCTTCATCATTACACTGGTAGGTGTGTTATTATTTTTTTTCGCAGAAAGTTAAGACAGTTTATATTAAATTGATTTTTCCATTTGGGGGATACACATTTTGTAAATTACAAACACGTGGAAGCATTTTTTATTTGAATTCATAGCTCTGTTTCCGAAAATAACATGCATGATTTAATTACTTCAAGCATTTTAATAAAAAAGTTTTGAGGATTATTAAAATGACAATATTGATATGGTCGATCACGCCGTCGACCGTCGGCTCGTTCCTCTTTTCGCTGAACGTTTTTAATCGAATTACACTCCTTAGCATCATTAAATTAAAAAGTTTCTTGTTGAAAATCTTGTACGTTGAATAGTTTTTCGCTTTCATAGTCTCCATATATCTTAATATTTACAAGTAACTAGTTATTTTTATCGCATTTACCTACTGTATTACCACGCGCCATCGCTTGCCGTCTGCTGAATTGGATGTTTTCCGCCGGATGTTCTATCAATGTATGATGATTCTTCATCCGTCGGTTACCTTATGCAGTTGATGCTATTCTAATCAAATGATAAATATATACACAATATATTAAAATGTGAGTGTTTTATTCTTGTAGCACCATTTTTACTCATCTTTTCCGAAGGTTTTCCTGTAAAATCTTTGAATTTATGTTAAAATGTTGTTGTTTCCGTGTAAATTTCTCTCGTCATGATGTCAATATTGACCATATTTGTAGTTTTTAAAATTTTCCTTTTGAAAGACCCTGTGTATTAGTTTTCCTAATAGTACGTAGTAAATCGCCTTTACTTGTGAGTTTTGAGGGTTCTTTGTTTTAAACTTGGGATTTTCCTTCTGGAACACTCTATATATTTGATTTTCTTCATGTAGTGTTTTGATGTTTTCCTCTTTGATGGTTGAATTTTCTATTTTTGACACCTTGTATAATCGTTTTCCTTCACATCTCTGAAAATTTTCTTTTTGTTTTGTAATGACCTGTATATTTGTTTCCCAGAGTAATGGTGAAAAACGAGCGATATTTGAGGGTTTAGATGCTTTCCTGTCTGCATTTAAAACTTTTCTTTTGTAACACCCTGTATAATGGTCAATTTGCTATTTTTTATCCCGGTAGAATATTTTGACGTGTCATTTGCTTATATGTGCGCGACGATGCAGGTCGTAAGTTCTGTCTCAATATGGCGATATGTATTTTGTTGACTTGTTGACTAGTGGTTTTGTTTTGTCTATTCATTTAATTATTAATTTGAATTACCACCACTATTTGTGCCTCTTGTGGAGTATTTTACCTACGAAAACGTAAGAAGGTGTGTAAAATAAATACTAGGTATATCCTGTTATCATTCGACTAATTAAACAGTCAAATGTGGATTCATCACCTGATAAGGAAAAACGTTCAGTCAAATTAGTAGAAGCTCTGAAAATGGGCACATTTAATACACTATGTAAAGCAAGTAGTGCAATATTGTCGCGTTCAGTCGACTGCCTATTCGCTTCCATTAGGTTCCGTTTATCGTGCCTGATTATTGCTTTTGTATCTTATTTCTGTTTGTAATCGGCTTCACGTGTTTGCTAGTGTCTGGGTTTAGGAGATCATGATTTAGTATATCATTAAAAATAGTAATTTTAATTAATAATAATTGAAATACAATGGTAGGTAGTACGAGAGGGTGAGTATAAGCTAAGTAAAGTTAAGTAAACACTTACTGTACGCTATACCCTCACAATATCGCCAAAACGATATTTTTACTAAACCATTGCAAGCTAACTTCAGTCTCCACCGTTAGGTGGAGCTGACAATACTTCTGCGTCTTGAATAATAAGCCAGTTGTATATAAGCCATGGCAGGTCAATGCAGTATTTGTGCAACCTGCAATGGAATCATAAACTATCCAATACCAAGAATCTCCTATCCGTTCATAAAATCATAAAACAACTAAGAATTCCCAACCAAAAAAACACTCCATTACACACGGCCAATGGCATCAAATTTTCTACACAAGAAAAGAGTGATGCCCTGGCTGACGAATTTTCCAAATCTTCCTCCCTTACCGATCACCTACACGATAACACATTTCATGACCACATACAAAATACGATTAAAAATTTCCTACAACAACCTCAAACAAATCCATGTGATCCAATTATAAATTTCACGTCATTACAATCACTTATTAAATCACTTCCCAATAAAAAATCTCCTGGTAAAGACAAAATTACTAACGAAATGATCAAAAATATCCAAACAACTTTATCCTTCAACTAGTAAAAATCTATAATGCATGCTACCAACTAAATTACTTCCCTAAACAATTTAAACACTCTGTAGTAATCCCAATAGCAAAACCGAATAAAAACCCAACACTTCCACAAAATTATCGTCCTATTAGCTTAATTTCTATGCTCGGTAAACTTAACGAAAAACTTATTAATGTAGAACTAACAAAACACACCCAATTACTTAAAGTTATACCTGACTCCCAATTTGGCTTCCGAAAACATCATTCTACTAACATGCAAATAGCTAGAATTATTAACAAAATCACCATTAACACTAATCTGAACAAAACTACCTCTTTAACTACAATAGACTTAACAAAAGCATTCGACACTATTTGGCATGACGCGTTAATTTATAAACTTATTCTCTTAAATTATCCCAAAAATCTAATCCTGCTAATACGCAACTACCTGAGCAATCGCTCTTTCCAAGTAAAACTTCAAAACACTTTTTCCAACTCGCAAAATTAACCACAGGGTCCCACAAGGCGGCGTACTTTCTCCCCAACTTTACAACATTTATACCCACGACATTCCTACCGATCCAAATACCGATATTGCCTTGTTTGCTGATGATACCGCAATCATCACTACATCATCTCAAACCGCTCAAGCTAACAAATACACCCAACAACACCTAAACAAACTCCAAATGTATTACCAAAAGTGGAAACTCCTCCCAAACCCGGAAAAATCCACAATTACCTACTTCGGCAACCGAAGAAAATCCAAAATCATCAATCTACTCCTTCTTTAAACAATTTAAACATCCCAGAAACACCCGACCCTAAATACTTAGGCGTAATTATTGACAAAAAATTAACTTTCAAAAAACACATCTCTTCAGCCTTATGCAAAGCCAGAATTACCAAAACAAAATTATACCCCCTTCTTGGACCCCATTCAAAATTAAATACACATCTGAAAACCCAAATCTACAAATCTTACATTCTTCCAATTTTAACGTACGGATCACAAGTAACTGAACTTGCTGCAAAAACAACTAAATCCAAAATGCAAATTTTCCAAAACGCGATTCTCCGGAACATACTCAAAATCACGCGACAATCTCGAATTCGCACCAAAATTATTCATGAACGTACGCGCTGCGAAACAATTTCAAATTACATTAAAAAATTAAATACCAATTTTTATAAACATCACATTTTAGCGTCCAACTTAACAGAAAACATACTAAATCATCCCCTTAAAAATCATTATAGAAATAACCAAAAAACTCTCACAAATATTCCTCTAAATTAATTACTCCCCTTTTCCCCCTCTCTTCCCTATTATTAACGTCTCTACTTTGTGTTTTTTTTTACTACCTACGTATCAGGGCACAAGTGACATAATAATAAAACTCTCGTCGTAAAATCATCAATGATGTCAATCATATGTAAATTTTAAAAATTAGCAGGTAATTTGTTCGACAAAAGGTACTGTATAAAAATTATTATTAAATCGTAAACAATAAGAAATATGTACTGTGTAAGTTATTTTCTATTTAATTGTTTTTGTTTATACTTAATTTATTAAATGTTTTCCAAAAAAAAAAATTGTGTTTTTTTTTTACTACCTACGCAGTATTTGTCAAGCCAGTAGGTGTGCTGATGAGACCTCTAATGGTCGAAATAGCTATCCACATCAGGCTTGACAAATACTTGCATTGACTTGCAATGGTTTAGTAAAAATATCGTTTTGGCGATATTGTGAGGGTATAGCGTACAGTAAGTGTTTACTTAACTTTACTTAGCTTAATAATAATTGTATTATTTATTATGTTCTATCCCCGCACCTATCACCTCTCCTGGATATCCAGGTGGAAACAGGTAATAGAAGTTGAATTTTTGTTTCCTTTTTTTTTGCATCACCCTGTAAATAAATTTTCCTTTATGCTCAGCGAAAAATGAGCAATCTTTATTGTTTTGTGGTGATTTTCTTTATAAATCGAAGATTTTCTTTTGACAACACCCTGTATATTAATTTTCCGTTATGTCACGAAAAAATAGCCATATTTGTAGTGTTTGAAACTTTGTCGTTGACGTATATTCTAAAATGACGTTGTTTTCTTTTTGTAACACCCTGTATATTAGTTTCCTTGATTGTCTAGTGCAAACGATCAAGATTTATAGTGTTTATTATTTGCACTTTAAATTTTCCTTTGGTAACACCCTGTATATTTGTTTTCATTTTCAATAACGTAGAAAATGAACTATTTGTTAATTTGTTTATCCCGGTAGAACATTATTACGTGGTACTTGCTTACATGTGCGTGGCTATGCAGGTCGTAAGTCCTGTTTCAACATGGCGGCACGTATTTGGTTGACTTGTAAAATATAAACTTGTATTCTATTGTTAATAAAGAAACAGTAAGATATATTGACTTCTTTGATTTGTGTATGCCCCTTCTATGATTACAGGAACAGTTCCCTCTCTCAGGGGATGATAGCCACTATAAAAATTGTTAAGGTAACCTGTATGATTTATGTACTCCTTCTTTCATTTCAGGTACAGAGCAGAACTTATAATAATATTTTTAAGTGTCCCCTCTCTTGATGCGTCTTAAAAATTAGAAATATTTTTACAAGTCCTTACAAGGATGTCCTTATAAGGAGTTCCCTCTCTCTGGGGATGATCCCCCACCATAAAAATTGTTGATATGCCTGAGAATCCTGGGGATGAAGCGCAGAGACATCGTAGCTGTAGGATGGGCCGGGAGCAATAGAAGAATCGAAGCAGTGAGGCTGTCTTATAACGACACGTCCCAAAAAATTTTAAAAGTTCGACCCACTCCTATGCTCTCTTCTCTTCTGGCGGCTTTCTTATTCTACTACTCTGCTCTCCTACTACTTCTAACTTCTACTTTCTATCTCATACTCGTATTTCTTTCATTTCTTCTTCTCTGTATTGTCCCGTCTCCCCGTTCTTCGCTGCCATTCGGAATTCAATCCGATTTTCAACTTGAATTGCATATGCAACCCACATAACTCGGATTTATTTTGATATTTAAGAAAACATCCTTTACTTCATTGAGATTCGAACCACGAATCTCTAACGTGCAAGTATCGACACATGCACCTGAGCCATTGAGCTCTCTTATCATATCCCATTCGTTTCAGGTATAAGTAGTGCACTTTTATTTATGTTTTTAAAAACAACAACATCTGTATACTGCACTGGTAAATATACTATTATACATACAAGCGTATGCACTGATCTATATTTAAAATCCGTTCTGAAAACAACAAAGGGGATTCATGAAGAAATATGCTTGGAATAATATCAATTCGTATGTAATTTATTGAACCTACAATCAAGAATGTAAATTTTATATTTTAAAATAATTAGTAAACTTGGTGTTACCTACCTTACAAATCCCACTCTACCTTTTTTCCAGGTGGGTAGCATAATGGAATTATATCCAGTACATAATAATTGTTTGAAGAACAAATCTGTTAGGAATATGCATCCACAGAAAGATATCCAACAGCTGGCTGTCCAAGGTAAACGGCACACACACGCGCGCAGAGAGTTGATTCTCACCATAGAACCTACTATGATAAATCATACTCTGTATTACTGAATAAATGAATTAAATATTAATATAGTCTATTTCATCCGAATCTAATATAACTACAGAATTAAAATCTCAAGATACGAGTACAGCTGCTACGACAATCGGTTGTCAAATAAAACGTGCTCACCACCCAATATTTTATTATAGCGCACAAACACGTTATCGCAGGTTGTTAAATACCATGTTTCTTTATTATTCTTAAGTAGGCTTTTCTACACGGAAATAAACGTAATTAACTGAATTAAATCACAAGAAACGCAAAAAATGTGTACGATGATCAACCAAGCAAAACACGTGTACAAAATACAACGGCACACGACCAACTGAAATAAAGATAAAAATTTACGAGTCTTTACAAACATACAAAGCAAGTTATCATTTAAATAAAGAAAAAAGTCCATGCAAAACAAAACTTCTGACACTTGCGCTATCTATTGAAGAAAATACAAACCAAATATTTATAAAGAAAAGTTAAGTTCACTGGCGCCATCTAGTTTCAGCGGCGTAAACTAGAATTAGTACGTGTTGCAGGAAACTACCGATGCTACCAACATCAAATCATGAAACCACTTCCTCGAATTAACTGAAGAAAACTCGTTATTCAGATACTAATTGAGCGTTTTTTAACAATCGACAAAATCGTACACAGCAAACACACTCTAAAAATATGGGATCTTAACGCAGGAATGCCGTTTGTACGCCTTTCCTGTGAGTTAATTACTGAATTTGGGTAAAAAACGATGCAGAATAGATATATTGAATTACAAACCTTACATCTAATGAAAGTGCGACTATCCTACGAAATCGCTTTCATGAGCTGTACCTCTAAAACAAGCAATAAACAGTCTCTCGAAACTTAAAAATGACATTTTTATGACCAATCGTGGAGTTAATCGCAGAAGCCATAAATGTAAATGATAAAGGATTATAAAACTTACAATCTGATCAATGTACAATTATTCCAGGAGGTCGGTTTCAGGTGCTGTACCCCTAAAAAAGCAATAATCAGTCTCACAAAACACAAAAATGCAATTTATGAGGCCAATCCGTGAATTTATTAAAGAAGCAACGCATGGAAATAATATAGAATTTAAATATTTATAATCTGATGCAAGTGCGATTATCATGGGAGGTAGAGTTCAGGCGTTGTTCTCCTAAAACCAGCAGATATCGGTCTCTAAAACTGCTAAAAATGCTATTTTCCCAATTTTTCAATTGAGATTATCTCGTTAACTACACCCAACACTGAAGAACGGATTGAAAATTCTATGAAAAAAAATTTCTATAAGATAAAGTTTAAAATTTCGAAAATAATTAAAAATCATAACATGAAATTACCAGCGCCATCTAGCTATGAAGGTCAAAACTAGAAATAAACAAGAAAACTGTAATTCAAGCTATTGACACGGAACAAACCAGTCTATTTGAAAGACCGACCATTGAACAACTACATAACTCTAGAAAATCGCGTTATAGAACCTTACAGGACACGTGCGATAATCCGTTTCCCCCAAAAAACAAAAAATATTATTATATAATATTATTACAGTGTTCCTACCCCCTAAAACAAAAATACATCAGTACTTCAAAATAAAAAAAATAACCCCTTTTATATTATCATTTGTAGTGTTAATAATAAAAATTATTTAGAAAAGTAAAGAAAAGAATTCAATACTTCCTCATCTAAAAAAAACAACAAAATCTACAAATGAAAAGTTAAGTACTTGTACATACCACATGAATGAAGTTTACATTTATGACTTAAATCGGGTTTACACAATGTAACGGTAACAATATGTAACAATAAAACAGAACGATTTAAATGCAACAAAAAGATCAACCAAAAGTCAACAGAAATGCTGTATAGTTGATCCAACAAATGTACAACACCAGATTTGTACTTTAATTACAAATTTATTGACTCTTAGTGACTAGAATTCAATCCAAGCATATTCACATGAAGTTATTTAGTGCAAACTTAAACATTTGGTACATCTAGAGAGTAAGAGAATTAATTTATGCAATAGGAATAGCGGAAGCTACACAGGATTAAAAAGTTGTGTAAGATAGGTTAAGCAAGCCATTTGATTAACTTACCAGGATTTACTTTCACTAATTGCCCCGAAATTATACATAATTTTGCAAAATTTCAACTCACTCACTTAGAAATATTGATAACTCTTTTGGAGTGACCAACACAAAATAATCACCACACGTCGCAAATGACTCGAAACAGAGAAAACGCCATTTTGCTGAGATCGTGAATGATGCCGTCAGACACAGATTTGAAAAATGCCAAAAGCAGAGTAGCTAACCTAAATTGTGAATCTAGTTTAGAACCAAAAGTTAACACTTTTTTGTACAATTATTTTATTATACCTATTGAAAACAATTTTATTTTGTAATTAAATCCATTACTTGGATCAAATAAATGTATTTGTTACCTGAAAAATAGACAAACGCACAAGTTTCACTTGTTTATTGCTTAGAAACAAGTGAAATAACACTGCAGTAAACTGTAGGTTTGTCAGGTTGGCAGCGCCGACGTTTTCTTACGTCAACCAATGAGGCAACGGAAGAAATTAGGAGCATTTACCTTCAGCTGCGAATTGTTCCCTTATGTGACATGGCGTCTGAGAGGAAAGTTAGTTGTTCTTAAGCGGGGCACGTCGGTCGACAAACATTCAACTTTTATGACAATTGATGAAGAGACGGCTTATTTGCAAAGCCACGGAATTCCGCTAAGGACTTGCATTGATGGTAATGCATGCAAGGAAAACGCAGCGGATGAGCGATGGGTAGGCTGGCATCTCCAAAAGCATCCACATATACATCTCACCCTCATCGCGAATGGAAATGGGCATTTATCGCGATCCATGACCAGGATTGGCAGGCGTTAGCGCCTTGATAAGCGATAAAAGCTGATTTCGATTGTACGCGATCACAAGCATTTCCTGCACTAATCATGTTTTATTTTTGTTCTGTCCAGGTACTTCGAGAAACACCAGGCCCATCCCTATCAGGTAAACATTTACAACTATTAATTCATTCAAACGTTTTTCAACAGATATGCTCCTTGCCTCAAATGCATTTGCCACTGCTTTCTAATGGATTTTGTGTTTTGGCATGTTTCAACCCAACCCATACTGACTGATTCCATTTTGTTTCCAATAGCATTTTGTGTTGGTGGGCCCAGATCACGGTCGGATCATATTTGTTTACATTCAAATTATCCGCGCGCCCTATTACGGGACTACAACTTGTGGCGAACATGCGGCAATATCAATTGCATCAACATAAATGAAATAGTGCCTAACCTTCATGACATCTGTACACATTTTCATTAGCATTGATTTTCATATGTCAGTAAACTTTTGGCAAAAACAAATGATTTCTAATCATCATTGTTTGCTTCTGCACATTGTAGAACTCAAAATATGGGTCATCCAAGGGTTATGGGTCAAGCACAGATAGGTATGATCGGATTCGCGACTCACCCAATGGGAACTATCGTTCGGACAGTCCGGATTCACAATCTCCCAGAGAGAGGGATCGTTCTTACCAGTCTAAAGGCTCATATATGCAGAAAATATATGAAAAGGAGAGAGAAAATAGAGACTACAAGAGAGGTAAGTTTTGTGAGCATCTAGTCTGGATAGTAATGCCTTCTGTAAGATTCCAGCTGGGGTAAAATGCTTAGAGTGCTGGTTTAATGAAAAGTTTACAGGAATTACGTTGTGTTGTATTTGACAGGCAAACATTATCCAGATTGTGCCAGATCACCAAAGGATAAGCGCTCACGCGACTCGGAACATAGAACAAATCACGACCGAAGTGACGACAAAAGCATACTGCATCCTATAAAAGTTTCACAAAATCTTTCATCTAGGGATCGGAAACCTATGCATAACAATTGTATTGATAAGGTGATGATGTACTTTTTAAGTGTAGAAATAAAGTAATAACGTTGTTTCTGCTTTCTGTTTTCATAGAGGGATGAAAGGGATAGAGGAACAAGAGTTGGTGATTGGTCAGAGCACATTAGTTCATCTGGTAAAAAGTATTACTACAATTGCAAAACTGAAGTATCACAATGGGAGAAGCCGCGCGAATGGATTGATCGGGAGAGGGATAGATGTAGAACTAGGGATAGGGATCGTGAATTGGATCGGAACTATGGTAGTTCCAGCCGCTCAGGATCACGTGAGTGATTTTATTGCGTCGCATTATTGTTTTATTCTATATTTGTTCTTTCTTCAACTCGCAGGTCATGATAAACATTCCAACTCAAGAAGCAGTAATAGTAGCAGCAGCAGCAAAGATGTATTGCGCGACGGCGCCACGGGCAGCCAGCACTGGAGCTCGCGAGACGATGGGGACCACAAGGAGCCACGCGGCTCGCGAAAACATCCGGACGAGAATGCGACTCAAGACATGGATATCTCACCCGGCGATAGCACACCCACATCGGAGGTGTCGTACTCGACATCTGCCCACGTGCCGCTGGAACAGAACTCACACGGGCCTGTGCTGCTTGCCAATGCGCTGCCGCGGCTGATTTCACATCCTCAGCATTTGCCGTCAACGCCAACGACGATTCGTTCGGAGTCTTCGCCATTGACGAACCCGGCGAGTACACCGTCAATGGTGCCGCCGCCGTCGAACATTATCACAACATGCAGTGCTCCCGGACCGCCTGCCTCGCATCACGCGAATAATTCGTTGAATGACGGCATCAACAGCGATGGTAAAAGTTTATCTTCTAGAATTTTAAGTGAGAATTTAGGTCAGCTAAGTGTTGACACCAATCATACTGGAGCATCTGGCGAGGGCCCCCCTACGCCGACACATTCAGAGGCACCGGAGTGCAATAAAGGTACGATTTAATTCCGGTCTGGGTCCATCATTCGGATTTACAATTCCTGACTTTTTGTTGCAGTTGCGGTGCCCTCCGGCAGTCCACCAACTGGCAGCGGTTTGTCTACCCTGCAAGGCGTCTCGAGTTCTTTACAAGCACTGCGGCCACAAGGCCCAACGATTACACCGTCGTTAGCAAATCACGTTAGAGATGATTTAGTTAACCATGTACGCGGATGGCCTGCAGATATTTTAGAAAAACAAGTACGATATTATTCCTTTATACAATATTGTAAATTATAATGTTGTGTGATTTTAATTAACAGGCACAGAAACTGTCTGAAGAATCACACATTATGGGCAGCATACAATGTTCCAAAGTATCGGCAGAACTGAAATCGGCCAGGTCTACAGTGAGACTTACGGAAATACAAGCCACACTTCAAGAGCAGAGGTAAGTCTACCTCTCTTTATTCCTAATGGGCCATTGGTATCTCAAAACGCGTGTTTTGTCTGTTGCAGAGTTTTGTTTCTACGTCAGCAGATTAAGACGTTGGAAGAAATGAAGTCTCAAAATTCGTTTATGTCGGATGACTCTTAGTGTGCAAAAATTAGTGTTACTTCTCTCCCTCTAAAGAATATTTTAATTATTATTTATGTAAGTGACAAAATAATTGGTTGTATTTATTTATACTACACGAAAAAATAATTGAAAGATAAAGAAGCGCGCCGTGCTGGCTCAGTGCACCGTTTTTAAAGTAACACGCGATTTGCACAATTTCGTACATAGTTACGCTACGAGGCAACGTGTCGCAGGTTGCGTTACGATTAGTTTGTGTCTCACTAATTTTCGGGCGAGTTAATTTTTTGTGGGCAATCGGTAATGGGGGAACGTTAGGTACAATTTATCTTAATTCCTAAATAGACACTCTGTGTGGCTTAGGCGATAAATAAGATACCGCGGTCAGGTTGGTTTATCTTTTCTATGTGCAGAGCATCATAATTCGTCGCGCATGGTGATTAAATAATAGAAAAAACAGAGATGTGGTTTCGTCTTAAACGCAAGTACATTTGAAGGCGCCCGCGCCCGAGATTGGTGCATAGGGCCCCGTCAAGCATTTCATTTTATTATTATAAAAAACAAAAAAAAAACGCTAAAGGAATCATAAGAATAGATGATAACTAAAGACTATCTCTAGGTAGATTTATTGATTGATGAAAACTATGTGACTTTGTATTTGTATTATGATGGTTTTATGTTTTAGATTTTAGTGAAACAAATTAATAATCCTCTAGGCATATAGTTTTATTACTTTCTGTCTCATTACTTCCTAGATGTACATTTTCGTTTTCGCTGTAATATGTAAATATATTTTATAATATTCATCAACCTACCAACTTTACGTTTTTATCGGCTTATTATTCATGTTAATAATAACTGAAGTAATACATTTTCGAGAGAGATTCGAGCAAAAATCTTGTAACAATTGATCTACAAACGTATAATACTAATTTCTAATTCATTCATGTTTCGTATTTATTTACACTCCCAAGGTATCCGACTGTTAGCGGCGTTTAAAAATAATTGGTCCATTCTGTGACATCAAAATAATTACGATTTCCAGAAGGTCAAGCTTTTCAAAATTTTCTACGCCAACCACAACCCTGAGAATTAAGCAAATAATAAATTTAGTATATATTAATATGGTAAGTAAAAAATGTCCACGCTTAACATGTTAGAATTCAACTGCGTCAGTATCAGGAATCGAATCCACCTGAAATGAAAAACCCCATTTATTTACTTATGTGTATATTTTATTAACTTAATCAAAAACAAACAATTTTTATTAACAGAAATTGGTATAACATTCTTGAAACTTGCTGGCTTGCTTCGCTCAATTTTTCAAACTGAAATTTCATAACCACTGAACGAAAATCGGGAATTAAAATGTTTTGCCCTTAATAGCAAACACGAAATATGTTATTTCAGCAAGACTAGGCCAGAATCGCGGAATCGACCCAAGGAGTTGGTGAGAAAAAAATTGAGAAATTATGATAAAATACAAATAAAAAAATATAGGCACACACTTGCTGAAAATTTCCCAAACGCGTGAAATTAGAATTTAACTGACCCAAACGTATTGTGACAAGATGAAGTTGAGGAAATTTGCAGCAACTTGATGGGGGGATTGATTCTTACAAGATAAATGAAAATATAATATATTTACAGAATAAGCAGTCTAACTCCTTTTTAATTGTATTGTTTTTGATGTATGGGAAATTTTATAACGTTTTTCAGAGCCGTTGTACGATTGATACACACTCGTTTGCTCCGTTGAATAAGAACTGATAAGAGAATTACCTGAATTTAAATAACACAAAACGCACAATATTTTCGGCTACTATCACATTCAGTTTCATTCCATGTTTTTCTCTTTAACTTATAAAAAATTATGTACAGTAGTTTGTGTGTTTTGTTTTGTCTTTGATTCGTAGTGACCATATTTACTCGAATGCAAGACTAGGCTTGCACCGCGGAAAGTTGCGTTGACCAATTCCAAGAGTCGCATAAACGGGATCTTTGTACATTTGAATAAATATGGTTGGATTTTACCTTTTTCAATAGCCACTGTTGAAAAATATATCAAGGAGTGAGTCTACTTTTCACATGTTTATTATATACACATCTACGTGTATATATCGTATTAATTATTCGTAATAGAATAGGTAAGTTAATTTATTTACGCTGGAATCACGAACAGACAAAACATTGTTGCTTCGCTTTTTTTTTGTATTCGAGGTTGCAGTCACAATTCACATTTTAATATAAATAATATAAAAGATGTCCCATTTCAGTAATGCTATGCGGATACATGGCGATTATTGTGCAAATTTGCATAATACAAAGTTTTGAGTTCCACCAGTAATAAGTTTCAGTCTGTTTTGCCTGTTTAGCGAATGCCAGTCACAAATATTCATCGTATTTTGTTTTAATTATCATTTGTTACGAGTTTGTTTGTTGTGTTTTTTTTCTTCCAGTTTTATAAATAGTGTTTTCATTCAACGAGGGCCTGACCCATAAGAATATCACAGTACAGAAGCCAATGACGGCGGTCATAATATTAATTCCGATTGCGTAATCAATGAAGCATTAAAATCGCATCAGCATTAATATTGCATTATTAACACTCTTAATTAGTATAAATCAGCGATGAAGTGCCGCGAGTTGCCTTCATCATGCACACCACGAACAAGACGATTTGTTCGTGCATGTGTTTTTCACTTGTTAATATAAAATTCTACATTCTATGGATCAGACCATGTTCCTTAGCAGTAGATCGTTACGACTAAATTAATTATAAATGTACTTTCATTAATTATATAAATTTCCACCCTCGCGCCAGCTTATACATTACACATTGTAGGATTCCCAATCGTAACTAGTGACAAAACAAACGCGCTACACAGAAAAAAAAAACTCAACTAGGCCGATGAATTGTAAACATTTCTCAGGCTGCCCTGACGACATCCACCGATATGTGTGTGTGTACAATATATAAATTCTAAATAGTCAACATTATATTACAACTTGGATCGAAATTGATTTTACGGATGGCGCGCACCTCGCAAATGTTTACAACCGCACGACCGGCAAATTTGAAGTAAGTCCATCATCCCACCATTAATTCCGCAATTAAACTAAGTGTAACCTAGGTAACATAATCAATCGTCGTTGATTGGCTCGTGCGACCCATCGATTGCTTCCATGCTTCGTATGTTTCGACTTTGCAAACAAAAACATACACGTTTTTCTTATCATAATAATCAAAGAGCACTAAATATCAAGACTAAATCCTACAGCAACCGTCTTGTTAGCCAGACACTGCTCGCTCACACACGCATACAATTTTCACAGATCACTTACTTCATTAAAAAAAAGTTGTGCACACAGGCAACACCTACTATCGCTGTGCTCGCCGAACCGCTTTTCGTATTACTCTACCTTTTGTCTCGTTAGGTTGGGCCCTGAGAATACAATAATGAATTAATGAAATAAATTATAACATCGCATTTGTGAGAATCCAACTTACGTTAATGCTGCTGGAGCGGCTGATCCAGCCGTGAAGTTGAATGCAGGTTTTGCAGCGGCATTGAAGTTGGGGCCTGCCGTATTATCATTACCGCCGAAGTTAAAAGCTCCGTTAGTATTTTGTGTACTCTGCAAAAATCAACAAAAGCAAAGTCAATACGTTGTATAAAATTATCAGTTTGTTACTTACAGCTGAGGAGCCAAAACTAAACGTTCCCGCCGCCGGAGTAACGGCAGACGCGCCGAAATTAAATGCAGGTTTAGGATCGTTTGTTGAGTTGCTGCTTGTTCCAAAACTGAACACCCCATTGGACGCCGGTTTACCAAATGCGCTCGCATTAGTCGGAGCGTAGGCGGTCGGTGCAGCACTACCAAAGTTTGGAGCGGCATTACTACCAAAGCTCATACCACTTCCAAAAGTCGGGGCTGCTGGAGCGGCCGCTGTTGGATTGGAGGTACCGAAAACGTTACTAGTAGCCGCAGCATTTGCACCAAACATACTTGTGGTACCACTTGCGGCGCCAAATGTAGGTGCCGGTGTTGCACCGAATGTGCTTGCAGTAGGTTTGGCGTTATTTGTTGCTCCAAATTTAAATGTCGGTGCAACGCTTTCGGCCGGTTTTACTGGAGCCTTCGATGCAGAAAAGTTGAACGTTGGAGCTGGCGTTGTTCCATTGGTCGCCGTGCTGCCAGCATTAAACATTGAAGTAGGCGCTGGTGCAGCTGTAGGTGCCGTGGAATCAAACTTAAACATTGTTGACTGCGTTGCAGACTTATCAGCGCCAAGTGTTGTACCTAAAGCTGCTGTTGGAGTAGTAGCATTGGCTTCATTCTTCGGTGTCGTCAGGGTTGACGGTGTTGCATTGAAGGAAAACGTTGGAATTGACGTCGTTGTGCTTGCTCCGAATGCTGCAGTTTGTGTTTTTGTTTCTGTTGATTTAGATGCGTCTGTACCAAATAACGACGATACGTTGTTGGTCGCCACCGCAGGTGAGTTATTGATTGCACCAAATGTAAATTTGGGTGGATCTACTTTCGGCGCTTCCGCCTTGTCCAAGCTTCCATTCATGGGATTAAGTGGGAAAGTAATTCCCGATGATTCAGTTTTTTTCGCTGTTTTGGGTGCATCAGCTTCATCATTAGATGCTGGACGTTTATTAGCAGTTGGAATCCCAAACGAAAACGCAGGAGTTGCCGCATTAGGCGTAGCAGTAGATGCTACTTCGGATAAGCTTGGTAGAGTTGTTTTGGCACCGTTGGGAGACTTGATTCCAAATAAAAATTGCGTGCTAGGTGTGCTACTTGCCGTCGTCTTATCCGCCGCCGCAAAATCAACCTTTTTCTCGTCTGTCTTTACGTTCTTATCAGGCGGAATACCAAACATGAAACCCTGTCCGTTGATTAAACCGTTTTCAATGCCGAAACTAAATTTAGGAACTTCTTTTACTTGAGCAGTTGGCACTGTCTTGCTGCCGGGCTTCGGCGCCTCGCAGCATACACACTTCTCCTTACTGCTGGGGTTCGGCACCATGCAACTGGTACACTCCCATTCGGTCTCCTTCTTCTTGAATCCGTCGATGCCTTTCGGTGGTGCAATTCCTGCAGGTCGAGGATTTTCGCACGCCTCGCATTTATCCTTGTCAACGTTGTTTCGGATCATACACATTGAACACTCCCACGTGGTAGAAGGAACTTTGAACTTATCACCCCATGACGAGGTCACCGTTGGGGGCTTGGATTGTGTTACGAGTGGTTTCGCACCAGGTTTAGGCGTTTCACAACACACACATTTGTCTTTCGTGATTGCATTGTTCACCATGCAACTTGGACACAGCCATTCATCGGTCTTTTTTGAGAAGCCTTCAAAGCTGGTAACTAATAAAAAACGCATGTATTATAATTTATCAAATTAAACATGTACCATATGCAACCTACCTGTGGTTGGTATTTGAGTTGTTGACGTAACTGCTTTGGGTTTAGGACTTTCACAAGCTGCACACTTTTCCTTAGCAGCATCATTTGGAATCATACATACTGAACATGTCCAACTACTGCTAGGTGCTTTGAACTTGTCTCCCCACGACGAAGTAGTGCTAATCGCCGTTGTTTTTATTGGTCCATTCAGGGTTGATTTTGTTGTAGCTTTTGGTGTTGTGCATGAAATGCAGGTAGTTGCAGTCGAGATATTCCTTACCATACACTCCGTGCACTCCCATTTATCAGAACCAACTTTAAACTTGTCTCCAAATCCATTCTTCGGAAGAACGACCGCCGGCGCTTCAGATTTCTTTTTGATATCAGGCAAGCCGTTTAGAACTTTCTTTACCAACGGATCGCTAAATTTGAAGTTGTTGATTGCCTTAATCGACTTGAATTTGTTTTCAGCAATCACCAACGGTTTGGAAAACTTGAACACCACACCATTTGTTGTAGTACTCTTCACCAACTGCTTGGTTTCTTGCAGAACGGAGGGTAATTTTGGAAGTGCAGGTTGTTTACTAATTGGTGACGCAATTGGCGTAGACTTAACTTCAGGACTATTGAAATTAATCGCTGGTGCCGCAATTGTTTTTGATGAGGTAGTATTGGTGTTACTTTTCGATTCTCTGGAGTCATCATCCATATCAAAACGAATTGCGGGTTTATCTGAAACGCTAGACTCTGGCACTTCAGCAGATTTCTTAGGAATTTCTGGCTTGCCAAAAGGAATCGAAAAGTTAAAAGTGGGAAGTGTCGATATTGGTAGCTGGACGTCAGGTAGTTTAACCTCGGGCACTACCTCATCTGCAGGAGTACCCTTCTGCCTAACAGACGAGACTTTCGTCTTGATTTTATTCGTATTTTTACCCGTCGTTAGCTTATCGTCGTCATTATTCCTAATCGAGTACTCTTCACCATTGCGTGATCCACTAGAGTGGTTTGCAATGTCGCGCATTGTAGACGTACTGTCTTGCAAGCGTTCTTTTAATTTCATTTTAAGTAAATCAGACATTGTGGGCACTTGTAGCTCCCTTTGCGATGGCAATTTGTTGCTTTCACGCACCGTGTAGGGACAAGCACCCACATACTTGCCTATAAGACCTTCAGGGCGCGGCGTTCGTCGGTGATCCGTGGGAATGCGTCGAACGTCCTGAGCGGGAGATGTATATTGCTCGAGTGTGTCTAGTATACGTTTTGCTGTTTTGCTCAGCGCTGCATTTTTGTTCTCATTGACGCTTTTGGGTCGTACAGAGGGGCTCAGTGGTGCTTGTTCGGGAGACGTATTCAGTATGCTGCGATTGTAAGCTGATGCGCCGCCGTAAGTAATTCGACCGCTGTAGAATGGTGAGTTGAAGATGCGTCGTGTTGATAGAGTTTTGTCCATAAAGTTCGGCGCACCAAATGCGGATGCATTGAAAGACGGCCGCCGCGAACTAAGCGACGAGTGTGATCTTCTCGGACTGGTAAAGTGATCTCCAAATAAACTTCTCTCAGTAGGAATTGCTGTAAAGTTTTTAACATAGTATAATAAATATATTTAAAAGCCCAATAAATTTCACTTACATGTGTTAAAAATGCTCTTGTTTCCTACAATTGTACTGTTGTTGTGATTTGCTTGTGCATTATTGTGTCCTGGTAATTCTGAGACTTGTTCCTTGCTGCCAATCCTAGGCATTGATGAATAACCACTGGTTGACTCTCCACTATCAGAGTCAACTCCATTTGTTTGATCTGCCTGATTTTGATTGAAGTGATTGGATACTGGTAGCACTAGTTTGCGTGTTGTAATCGACGGTCCTGGAACCGGCTCCCGGAACTCTTGGCTAAATGGATTCGGTAATTGTGAATGCAAAGGTGTCGTAATATGGTTCATGTCAAAGCCGTGGCTATGAGTCTTCGCACGTTTCGGTGGCGGTTGAAGTTCGTAGGTATCATCATCATCACCTAGTTCTTCCCTCTGCCGCGACTTAGCGCCCAACCACTTGGTCAGTTTTGAAGGAAGAAAGCCAGTCACATGAGACTTGACTTTCTTTACAAATGACTGCAAAATTATCCAATTCAACAAGCATTAGTATATTATAGTATGCAAATTAGCATGTTAGGCAATATTTTACGAGTTGCGATGAGCGCAACTTAATTTGGTATCGAGGCGCGTGAATCAAGGAGGCCGCGCCGCTTCCATTCAAGGTTAATACGCGCGTATCAATTCGCACATTTTTAAACAAATAAACAAGGCATGGCTACCGCGCACAAACATGCACGATAGTCGATTGGGGATGAAAAACGTGTTCGAGCTGTTGGCGCGATGCTGAAAACGGGCGCGAAGCATACCTTCCCAGTGGGTTGGCTCGGCTGGCGCGTTAGTTATTTTTAGCAGTGAGAACGCGCGAATTGGCCCACGGCGCACGACACTCACCTTGTTATTATCGCCCTCGTCCGTCGAAGACGAGTCGCCGTCGCAGTTCGGATCGGCCTCCTTGGGCATCGTTGCACGCACTGATTGTATTCGATCGAGAATTCAATAACTTCGCATTTTACGTGAGATTTAACATTTCATTGACACTTTCACTGCATGGGAATTGGAAATATGGCGGAGCCCGTGATTCTTTCACAATCGCGGGGCCGATCGGCCAGCACGAGTACGCGCGACGCGCGCGTTGTCACGAAGACACCCGAAGACAATGACTTATCGAAAGAAGTTCAAGCAATTTAACAATAAAAACAACACCGTATCTAGTTAAATTAAAAGATAAGTTTGCTAGTTGCCAAGTATATCATGTAATTTATTTACGTCGTAGACTTTTTTAAGCAGAATATGTTTTTTAGATATACCAACGTACTGCTGCGAGAGCCATCTACTGCTGTATTAGTACACTTACGAAGGTTTAACAAGTTACATACTTATTGTAATTTAGAGAAAAACCTTAAAATAATTTATTATAATAATTGTACTATGTAGTAACGTGGAATTATTATTAAATTAATTAAAATAGTACTGCAATATACCCAATTATCAATATCAATACAAGAATAATTAATGTAAAATGTAATAAGTATTGCCTATGTTCAACGCACAAAACAAATAAATCAAAATACAAATATTTGTATAAAATAATCATTGAAATCACAGTTTAAACCCAAATATTACTTCACAACCAATATTTACTCACATTTGTAGAAAATAGATTATCCATTCTAGGAGCAACTTGAAACATTTCTCTTGATCGGTATAGTTCTTGCATTTATCATTCGATGCGTCCAACTTTTTGAATTCATTGAATTTTACTGAGCACACACTTAGATTATTATATTTTTATCATTTATAAATGGAGTTCTATTGCTTTTATTAAATTTAAACTATATCCATTCTAACGGCACGCATTTTGATGTGATTTAAATGAAAGAATTAATGTGACACTTCAAATTTTGTATTCAGTTGATTATTTATGTCATAATTAAATATCAATAATTGAAATATTTATAATAATAAATATTAGAACTACTCATTATATTTTATTTTAAATATAACATAATCTACAAAATCTTATCTTGCATCTTCGACTACCGTAGGAAATTAAAATAGCTCGAAGCAAATTATTAACTAGTAGCCGTTCAAACAATACACCAAGAAATTCGGGAGTTTCCCATGAACGAATAAAAAAATCGATTAAACACAAAAAAGTTCAACAAACTTTCGTTCCGCTCAAATAACGTGTAGTTGTCCAAGTGAAGCCAGAGACCGCAGATGGAATCAAATATTTATCACTAGTTATCGAATTAGTCACAACGCGTAGTTAAGTTTCTTTCTATTTACATAATAAAACCACTCGTACTGCTTCCAGCCCAGACAAACGTCATCATCAGCAACTACGTAATAGTTGCAATTCCGGTGATTTCATATTTTTTGCAGAGCAGATTGATGACCAATATTCTCCACGTTTTCCTAGAGAAAACTTTCACCTGAGCAGTGAAATAAGATCCTAAAGTAAAAATGTAAATTATTTATGATTGATGTTTACACAGTCATTCTTGGTGACATGATACTTTTAGTTCCTTTTCATTTGTTTAATTTATTTGTAGAAGTGAATGACTATTTTATTCCGGATTTTTTTAAATTTATAATAAACTGACCTCATTAGTTTTTATTTGTTCTTAAATCAATTGTTCATTGTGTATCAGTATAATCATTACGGATAATATTTGGTCAAGCGTTCACAATACACAATCAATGACAATGATTGTTCCAAAATGTGTCAGAACTCTCTTTGGAAACAAGAAGTACTGAACGAAAGTCGGAAGTATTAGTTTATTGTAATTGAAATTGTGTCTGCATGCTGTCTTGTGTTTTATTTTGTTTTCAATACCACGCTTGCAATGAAATTAGAAATTACAATTAAGAAATGCAAAGTTTAAAACAATAATTAGTTTACGCTTTTTGTTAGTTTTCTTTTCTATTTAGATTTCGAAGCATATGAAACGAATAAAATGGCTGCATTTGTATGGCGAATGTGGAAAAGCTAGAACGATGATGAATTCCTGTTTTAATTGATCACGTTTTCTTCACTTTGCGATGGCTATTAACTCGGTTGGAGCACGCGATATCGGCATACAAAACTCACTTGGTTGTGATTGAAACGCATCCGAGAAGGGAACGTTTTGTATGTTTTGTTTGGTTTAATTGCAAGAAGTAATTAAAATCATGATTTGCAATTTTAGTATTTTAATCGAATATTTTATGGAGAACAAATTGAAGTTATTTTATTTTATTTCTTTCAGCGAAAATGTCCCATTGCATTTTATAAGTTAAAATAATAAGAGTATACATTTAGGCTATGATTGCGTGTCAAACGGAGAATTGTATGCTTTATGTGTCTACTTGAAATAATTCGAAGACATTTCCAGATTTACCGGATCCACCAAGCTTGAAGTTGAATCGTAAAACATGCGGCACTGTTTTTGACACAAATTTTCGGGATTGTTTAATACCAGTTGACGCGTGCCGTTGGTTAAAAAACATTGATTTCCCAGAAATAAAAGAGTCAAACATAAAAACACAGCTATTGCAGCTATTTAACTGCAAAAGTAAAAAATGACCTAAAATTACATTTTTTATCACTTTTCAGAATTTTTCGGAAATTCCACCACACGTCTACTATTCTTCTAAAACGTGGCCGAAAAGAGAAGTGCGACATTCCAAAGTAATTTATGGTTTTCAAACAATTGCTGCCTTCATTTCAAACAAGAAAATCATTTCACTTTGCGGAAATCTACACCACGCAAAAACATAAACTTAAAAGTTGCATAGTTTCTCACGATAACATAAATCACGTAAGTCTGCCTGTTGTGTCTCTGCGCTGCCATAATCGACATTATAAAATTAACATAAGAATGTAATTAGAAATTAGGAAACGGGGAAAATGAAACGAAAAAGAAATCGTTCATGCGCCGCAAATGTCAGAGTGATGTTTTGTGTGTTATACTGCAGGGTATTTCGTTTTTATCATTAGCAAAGCAAGTGATACTAATAGATGCCGGCGAGATTTCAACGAAATTGTGGGAACTTTTGAGCCGAAGAACAAATTGCCATCATACTCGGCAAAATTCCGACGCATTTCTGGTTTTGTATCAATCTCAGCTATTGTTTATAATTAGTGGATACAAAAATAACAACAGCCAAAACAACAATAAAATCATCTGGTTTGCATCTGATGGCAATGATTCCGAGTGAAAACCGAATATTATCGTTCACAATAATGAATTTGTCATAATTTATCAGTAACACGTGAATACATGAATATATTGATGGACTTTTGAATGGGGAAAGGTACAAATTGAGATGAAAGTGATGTGATGTGATTTTTTTGATAAATGATGCAGTTAATAGATATTTCAAAATATTTCTAAACTAAATTGTGTTGAATTCTTTGGATTCGCTGGATAGATTAACGGGCAATTATATTAAATTAAATTACTTATCAAAAAGAAAGTGCTTACCAAAATATTACATGAAATGTTTATAAACGCATGATCATCAACATTTAAATGATGTTTTAATTGCGCATTTTGTTTGAATAATTCATAGCTGTGTTACGAACTCCAACCGAAATTATTTAAATGTAAAAAGCGTTACATAAATATATTTTAAAATGTCTAAACTCATCAGGACTTTATTTATATTTAGTAATATCAAAAAGTGTCATTTTTATCAATAATTTTAAATTATTAAATGAATTAATTGAAATTAAAAAAATAATGATTTTTGATCACCTGCAAAATTTTTTTGATTAAATTTGATTACAAATTAAAAATCTTGCATCAGTTAAATTTATTTTTGATTATTTGATCAATTTGTTCCCATTTTTCGTTTTTCATGTATGTAACGATTGTGCAAGATTAAATGACAAATAAAAAATAGTTATCAAACCAACAACCAAATATAGCATTAACCAAACTTGAAGACATTAAAACAAATGTTGAAATGACTCCAAGGTGAAAATGTCCAGCGAATCCGGTGATGAATTAGAATAACGATCATCAGGACAAAAGCAAAAGTTGACTGAAATGACATAACTGCGATCATTTCGGGTGCCGCTGAAACTGTAACACAAAAAAGATTATATAAACTAAAAATCCTAATCACAATCATAAAGTTTACAAAATATTTTGATAATTTGAAATTTTGTAATAAAATCTATACAAAGTGTAGATTATTGTTGCATTTTGTATGTTTTTGTTTGACTTTATTTAATATTGGTGTGAGTTATGGCTTTTCTTTTGTCGTTTGCTATTAAAGCGATTATTTACATCACGAACAATTTTTACGCCGCTTCATATTTATACAGATGAATGTATTTTTTTTCAAACGCGACTGCTCATTGAGGACGACTATGACGGTCCAGCAAATACGTTCGTTTCATGTTGGTTTGTGATGTAAGTGCTAAAAGTATTCCGGTATGTCTCCATTCCACAAACAGTTTATTTAAATCAGCAAAACAATTGAATATCAATATAAATATTTTTTTAGTGTAAAGTTATTCACACTTTTACTTCACTGCCTCGGCATTCAAAAAAAATATAGAATCTATTATTTTACGGAAGAAATAGTTTAATGTGAATAAATTCTAATTTGATTTACACGTCACGTAGAGTGTTTTAATAAAATGGTTCCGGGAAAAACACTTGAAATGCAAAACTCATTACCGATATGCACTTAATTAATCGTTTTCACTTTCACGTAAAAACGCACCGCCCGTGCAGAATGGCGCATTCGACATTGGCAAAAACTGAAGTTTCGTGTCGGCAATAAAATGCCCCGTGACTCTGAATAGAGAGTTAATGTGCACGCAGTTCTATGATAATTTTTAAACAAAGCGAAGTAAAATTGATCCTTGTCGCTAATGGTTTAGCATACCACGCACAGCTTGTTGATTTTACACTTGTGCCATGTACCATGTTGTGAATGTACACTGTTTTTAATTGAACTTATACGGAAATTTCCGTGTTTATTATAATATTAAAGCATTATCATAATTTTAAATATTTGATTATGTAGATATTCATAATATTCATAATAATTTTTCACATCACTTTTTTGATTTTTTAATAAAAATTAGCGAAATAATTGAACAAAAATATTGTCAATCTGTCAATAAACTTTGAATTTATTTATTTTAATGCTACATAACGATGAGTCACTATAAGTAAGTAAATCATTAAGTAATTTTCTTTTTTTTGCATTTTACGTAAGTTATTATAGTTTATTATAATGAAACAAATGTTGCTAACAATAAAAATTTATCTGCGGCGATAATCTTCCAGACCGCGTTGCATAAAACCAAATGCTCATTGAATTTCATGTTGGTTTCCACTGTTTCAAGACAAACTTTCGAAACCCTATAACTAAACAATTACTAGGTAATGTCTTAAGTAACATTGCCGTTTACATTTGCAATATTGAAAAGTACTTATCGCTCTGTTTTAAAAAAGTAACAACAGACTTAATTGTTCGTTAAAAAAATTATATAATAAAAATAAGTGTTTAATATTTATAAACAAACTCATTAAATTTCCTAACGGTTTAATATTTTGCTATTGTAATTAGTATTAAAAGATTTCTCTGCAATTTTGTATAATATTTATTAAAGGCATTTACAAGTACAGTACCTGGTTATGTCGACGTAATAAAAACTATAGAGCATAAAGATTATGAACATACACAATTAAAATTAATAATTTCATTTCTATCAAGATCATGTTTTATTTTTAAGAAAACAAATAATGACTGGATATTATTTAATGCATTCTTAGAATACGTGATATATTTTGTTAAAATGTATATTACCTTATATGATTTATACTTTCTCTCATCAAAGGTAATTATTTTGCTTATTTTAGTCTTTCTGGTGTATTTAATTC